GACGGACAATCCTATGCTACGGACTTCTCTATGTTGCGGACGTGACCCCTATATTAGGACAGACACCTCTATAGTACGGGCACCTCTATATTAAAGATTGCTTTGAATACGGACACATCTATAATACAGACGACTTCAACTCTTGAGCTTATCGGGTCAGTCGGCTGTCATTTTTGATTTTCTTTTAAATCTGACCTAGAATGCGAACAATGTTTATTGTCATCAGTCTCATCAGCCTTAAACAAATGAATCTAATAGTATACATTTCTCTGAGTTCTGCCGCCAAATGTTCCGCCAGGAAGTAATCTAAACTCTTCCGAGTTCTGGTTTTTCCCTTCTTATTGGATCGCTGCCGATTGGACGTTCGTGGTGGACCAGGTAATTACAACATTTGAACAATCGGTTGGAATGAAAACCACAAAACAACACGTTACTAGAAGCAATGTGTCAGTTGTAAGTAGCCTTCATTATGTGAAACACGTGGAACGTTTTTTCTCATTTGAAATGATCTTTAGAAGCTCACYATCCGTGGGAGACAAACCAACCAATGAAAACCAAGTAACTTACGTCCTTACGTTTCTAGGGGCTTGGATATGAATTCGACATTCGTTTACTATAATAGTTTTGAAGTTTTAGTGTTTAATGTGTTATAAAATTGTTTGCCTACTATAAATGTAAAGGGCTTTTAAACTTCTTATAATTTTCTCGTGTAAAAAGGAGAACKTTTGATAAAATCGTGTTTCACAAGAACTATGCTGAGGGCCGTTGTATGCGACAGGCTTAAGTTACATAGCGTGAGTCGATCTTCATTAGAATATCGTTAGTGTATTGATAATTGAATTGTAATGATGTTTTAATTACCTGAGTGTTTCTTCTTTTGACAACAATGGCCTTTCATTGTTAAATGGCTTGGTTTTCCTGACGTATCCACCTCGACTTTGAGCAGAGTACAATCGGTTCGATGCATCGCTCGGAATAGAGAGCGTATTTTATAGGTTGTCTTGCTAGTGTGAACAGTACAGACCAACATGGACCATAGAAAAAAAATCTGAAATATAAACAGGAATATATTTGGTTTGGACCTTAGGAAAGTGTGCGTGCATGTTTAAAMCCCATTGTGGGAGCCCTGTGCGCACCTCGAAGAACGCCTGGTGAATTTTGTGTATTGCTTTTCGCAGCAATCAAAACTTTCCCAGCTCTCAAAGATAAAGTCTTTTGGTAATTTTCGCGAATTAAATGTTAATATRTGAYATACATTTTGKTCTTTTCATAAAATCMTGTGGCTTTATTTCAGAAGTTCGACTGAATATTTCACATCAAAGTTAAGGTAGATAGTGGCGCGCCTTATCGCCTCATCTTGGTATTTTCTGTCAACATAGCAATTCAATAACCTAAAACGTGACATCGAAAGAAGAACAAGAAGAGAGAAAAACATTTTAACTCGAATAAGAAGCAAAAAATAGGGATTTCGTAATCGAAAACCAGAAGTCCATCCTTCACAATGTGATTATCGTTTTGATTTGGGTCTTTTCGGAGACAAGTAGTTTGCAGTTTTTGCAGATTTTTGTCATAATGTAACTCTTCTTCGCTTGATTTTCTTCTATCTTACTCATTGTATTATCAACTCAATTAACCATCAATTAACTAATAGTCTTATAAATACAACAAAACCTAACGTACGATCATAGCAGACGTATAGTTTTTTCAGCTTATTTCACTCACCATTGCTGCAAGCTTTGCCTCCATCTCTTGTTATTTTGCGGGTGGAATATCTTTCGTCTATACTCTTTGAAGTCTTGATTTTTCATAACTTTTCTGCCGAAAAACCGAACTTAAATAGCTGTAATTTCGGAAACTCGTTCAGGAAACTTACGACCAACTCGAGAAACATTGTGGTTTACTTGTCGCCCACATCCGAGACAGTAATTGTTTACTAACCGAGTTACTTCTTGGTTAGAATATCCTTCCAGGATATCAAAAGTTCCGATTGAAGCGACGTTGAACTCGCTGCCACACACATACACACACTAAACTCATCTTGCACGATGAGCAGAAAGTACTCAACAAATTCGTAAAGTTATATAAGCTCATGGCGAAGCATTGCTCTTGATAAAATGGATCACACTCGTCCAATTAGAAAACATTATTCAAAACTGGAACATTTTCGTGGGAGGCCACTCCCAGCACCCAGTAACTGAGGAAGAGCCCTACTGTAGTAACCMTCGATACCTACACGATGCAGCTGATAATAAGAGAGCATTTAGATATTGCATAATGAGAAAGTTTTAATGAGAAAGTTTAATCAATAAGGATTTTGTAAACTTATTACAAAGTAAAAACTTTAAACTTGTTTAAAGTCTTTATTAGAGTCGATAACACATGAGTAAAGAAGTCAGTAGAAATAAGACAGCAAAGCCAAAAAAGATAAKAGAATAAGCACGAGGTGTAAAATCTCATGATTATCTTGTTTAAAATCATCTGTAACGTCAATTTCACTATCGTCAATTCGTAGGTTTACGTAGTGGGTGTAGGAACAAGCATAGAGTGCTGTGTCGTGAAGAAACTATAAATAGCATACTCCCAGCGCAGACAAATCATCACTTCTTAGGAAAACTAAATCTCTCTAACGAAAGACAAATACGGTTTAAGTTACAACTAATAATATATTTTTCTATTTTTTCAACTTAGTTCGAGAATATTTTAGATTAGCTGTTGTAAAAATGGAATTTGGTTTCTTCCAGGTTTTCATCCAAGTCACAGATCTCTTTTCCTTAGTCTAAACTTTACATAGTAACAATATTCCAGGAAATAAAATGAAATTTGTGGTTAAACTAGATGAGATCTTGTACATTTCCTTATTTTAACGATATAATGCATTCTTTTATCCCCAATAAACTATTGGCCATTAAAGTAATAATTATGCTTTATTTGAAGCTGTGCATGTCGGAGCTAATAGCCGTCTGTTGGGGGTATAGAGTTCCGYTCTCTTGTAAAYGATACGCCTGTCAAAGCAAACACGGACAAGGTTCAAATCTCTTACTCACCAATGAAAAATGTAATTAAATTGATATCAGTGGAATAAAAGTCCATTTTATTTGTTAAAAAAGTAAAAAAACGTTTACTCAATTGACCTCAAGTATGTTTGTTCAACAAATTCTTCCTTCTTAATTGGAACCGGAAGGTCATCGGTACCGACTGACGGTGTGCGTCGATTGGCGGGGGCAAAGACGATCGTACCGACGAATGTGATCACATTTTTTTGAAAGATGGTTGCATAATATGTAGTAAAAACGTCTGTTAAGTACATTAATTGAAAACAATCCCCGCAGCTTGYAACTTTTTCGCACAGTTTATTAGAACGTTTCGGTCATATTGGTTTTCTTCATCACACTAGGTGTTTTGCACGCGCTAGAAACGCGTACACAAAGGCCTATTGTATATCCAAGAGAAATTTAGAAAAAAGAGATAACGCAGTAACGCAGCGCGTTAAGAACTACAGGCAGGCATAATAAAACATGGAAGGGATTACTATTAACAAAGAATCTATTCACTAATCGTTAATGTTGCTCCTAAAGGAATTGAGACGATTGCAAACAAATTATCTTCCGCCATGTTGTATCTGTAACGCTTTCGTGACAGAAGAAAAAGTAAGAAAAAAGGAAAAAAGCTTTGTRGACATTACCGGAAATAGTTGAGTTTTATCAGATAGAATTGAACATGACGYGTATGTTAGAACAGCTCTCTCTTTTTTTAATAGATGTGATTGCATAACATATCATAGAACATGCCAAAACTTCAGACTTTAGCAAAAATCGTGACTACAGAGATTTGAAAGATGACATCTTAGTTAGAGGTCACGCCCAGAGGTGGAAGACAAACAGCTGACCGGCCATTCATGTATTCACAAAAATAAATGAGTGATTGATGACATCGATAAAAGATTTAATAACCCTTTACATATAGTCACAATACCCAAGCTACTTTGCGGTCTAATCATCACTTTGAACAAMACTGTCTGACTTTGGATATATWATAAGTTCAGTGATCATGCAAGAAAAAATTGTACACGAGGCTCATTATTTCCCCGTAATTCTTTTGTACATGAGTCATGACATCGACTATTAATCRATAACAGCCGAAAGTAGAAAATCATATCCTGATTTCTTGACATACAGTTCTTCCATCGATGATAAAACGTGAAAGGCGTAGATGCAAAGGTAAAAACTTGAATGATATGTTCAGTGGTCATAGTACAATATATCTGCATACTGTTCATCAGTTAGTGACGTTACGCTGTATGACGTCACTGGAGTCGCGGTACGTGACGTCACTAAATAGAGGTCAGGAAATTTTGTTACCTTGCTATATTTAGCCTTGAAAAGGCGTAGGTGACGTAAATAGAGTTTTGTTTGCTTATTCGTAAGTGGTGGGAGTACAAGTTTGTTGTAATCACGTCGCGTTTTTAACGTAGTTTCTGAATAATCAGGAAGTATCTTGGTAGCTGTGTTCATCTAACAATATTTTGTTTGCTATGTCTTCGATATTTTTGTTATTCATGAAGATCATTCATACGTGTATTCGTTTGGTTTTGTATCTTTCAGTATCTTATAGAATGTTAGAATCATGTGTCACGTAAACCGGACCGATCGGTAGAGCGTGGTGGAAGCGAGTGCAATCTACCCTTCTGTAGACACGCCCTAATAGACCTAAGCTTTTACTTCATGTACCATACGCATATTTGGGGCAGAACATGGAGGATTTCTTTTTTTCTAGAAACTACATGATCCCAGAATGCATTGAAAATCAAGTAAAGACGTAAAAGGTTTAGAAGTCTGTTACTGCCCATTTTTACTTTCCTAATTTCGCTGTTTTAATGATGCAATCGTTTTCTTTTTCATTTTAAAGCAGGTTATTATCCTGCTATCTTCAATTGTCCTGATGCTTCGTGCCGTTCATAACTCTTTAATTGTAAAATCATTAAGACAACAAACTACATATTATTTAAATTGAAAAGAATTTTATTCAATATTTCCATTAATTCGTTTCTTTATTTATTTCCCATTCCAGTCTTGAGTAGCCCAAGATGGCATCTTTGTTTTGTACTCCCAATTAGGACCCTGTAATAAATACACAAAGGTCAAGGTGACAAACCCAGCAAAGTAAATAGCCATCATACTATACCTTATATGACAGGGCATGTAGACACATAGTCAGTTCAGCAGGAGTGGGATCCCTTCTTCTTAGTTTACATTCACTGCAATGTTCATCTCTCACAGTTGTAATCTCTCTGCAGCTGTGGTCCTTTATTGGTGAGGTCTGTGTGCAGCCTTGCTCCTTTATTGGTTTGGTCTGTGTTGAGCCTTGATCCTTAACTGGCGAGGTCTGTGTGCAGCCTTGGTCCTTTATTGGTTCAGTCTGTGTTGAGCCTTGATCCTTAACTGGCAAGGTCTGTGTGCAGCCTTGGTCCTTTATTGGTTTGGTCTGTGTTGAGCCTTCGTCATTAACTGGTGAGGTCTGTGTGCAGCTTTGCTCTTTTTCAGTTGATTGACTTTCATCATTTGAAGTTGTATAACAATTATCATTAGTGACTAGAGGTGAATTAGCACCATTCCTTGCCACAGTTCTTTCTGAGTCTATGATTGTAGGAGATGATTCAGCAAGACTCTTGATTACCTAATCATGAGAAAGCAATGAATAGAAGAGAGAACTTAAATTTGAACTTGAATGAAAAAGTTAGAAAAAGTGAAAAGGAAGGAATAAGAGAAACATATTATAAGATATTAGCATAGTGAAACAAACAATAAATAATAGAATAATATTGGAATTAAAATGAATAAAATGTAGTACAGTGTACAAGAAAAAGATAAGGTAAGGTAACCCTTACCTTCAGTGCCTCATCATCAGTGACTCCACCCTTGCCCCTTTTATCTCCCCACACAGGACTRTTATATATAGGGTCATCTRTTATGGGATATCCTAGCCACTGCAAGTGAACTCTTATCTGATGCATACGGCCAGTATATGGCTTACCTGTACTCATATATAATATATTGAACTTTAGTGTCCTATACTATTATTTCTAATAGAGCAGTCAATAACACATCAGATCATCATTCTAGGATGTGTTTAATAATCATACATTATGTCTATTATATGGACCTTATAGTTGAAATATCTTCACTGAAACCTTACGTCCCTTTCTTTATTAGATAAACTATAATACTATAATACTATATATAATACTATAATACATTTCAACATATAATACTTACATTTTATAATACTATAATACATTTTAACATATAAWACTTACATTTTATAATACTTGAGCCTTCATCGCCATGTAGTTTAGTAAACATAGTTTTACAAGGTTTTCCATCTGGACTGACTCTACAAACTCCAACCTTGTGTGATACAACTAATATTGGTTCGTTGCACTCTACTTCTTCACTGTGGAAGAACATCATATTCAGTGAACTTATTTCAATGTCATATTGATAACATTACACATAATTTCAGTCATTACTGACCTTGGAAAATTTCCTTTGACTCTGCATATATACTCTTTGTCTATTTGTCGTTCTCTGACTTGTTCCTCCAACTCTTGTGCTTTCTTTAAGGTCCTGTGAAAGTAGAACAGTTTTGTAAATTTCAGATTAATCAATCTAAAATAATTATCATATCAATCTGAAATAATTCTATGTTTGCTGATTGGCTTGTGTTTGCTGTTGTTGGTTRATTTATTGATTGAGATTGGTTGATTGATTGATTGATTGATTGATGGACTGGCAGTTCATATACCTACTGTCTTCATTGTAACATGTGACCTACCTTGCAAACATCAAAATTCCAGAAGTCAATCTATCAATCCTGTGCACAGCTTTAAACACATACCAAATAAAAGATTTTTCATGAGTGAGTTTTAATTCTTTCTGTAGGATAATCGATGATGTTGTTTCATATACGTACTAAAGAGGTTAGTTAAGCCATGTTCTTTACCAAGAAGGAACACAATAGAATTGTGTCTATAGCGTCCACAAGGATGCACCTAAAGGCCAATGAAATTATCTTGAAACATTGACTGCCTTCATGCAATAGTTTATCCTGTGTAGCCAGGGCATTCCTAAACCCATGCTATGCTGGCTACTACAATATTTTATACATGTGTTATGATTATATCTTCAGTATTTGTCTATTATTTATCACATTATTGGATTTATCACTTTTATTGGATTGTTTCATTAGTGACATCCTCAGGAACCCAGGGGTAATATTCTGTCCTTCCCAGAGTTTTTTTTCTGGCAGTGAGGAATGAACAAAAGAAGGTTACCCCGGAGTTCCCGAGGATGCATTAGTGACAACTTACAGGGATTGATGATGGTTTATTGATGACTACTACATCATGATTGGATTCTACAATCTGAATGGTGTCAGCAGTGACTGGAGGCTCATGCCTTAAAAATAAAGAAGCCATTGAAAGATCAGAAATGACAATCAGACTATTGACTGATTGGTTTATATTATGCACATGATTGTAGATTAAGTAGCTACCTACCTGTGAACTTTGTGACATATCACAACATTATCCTTGAGTATTGTTTCTGATGTAGCTAATTCTCCATCAACTGTTTGAACATAGAAAAACTAATTGGCTTGAATTTTGACCTTTCTGAGGCTTAGCATCTGATAGGATTTCATGTTTTTATATTATAATATCTATACATTTTGAAAAAATGAAGATTGATTGAAAGCAACAGACTGCTATGTCATGACTATTTGTACCTGTTATTTTTCCTGACTTGATGGCTTTTTCCTGAATACAAAAGAGATAAAGTGATCAAGAAATGTAATCTTCATTATCTTAAAAATGTATTTGTTCATTCAATAATTTCATTCCCATATTCAATCATCCATTCAGTTGTTCATTCATTCATAATATTCATCTGTTCATTGAACTGTTCATATCATATTATAAATTTCCATACATTTCAATAGCTCCATTATTCAATCATTCATTTATTCATTCAGTTAACAGTTACTTTCCACTAATCCAGTTTTAACTTAGAAATTCAACCATAAAGTAGCAAAGCTATACTTACATAATATTCTGGTGGTTCAGATCGAAATTCCTCTTTAAAAACATCCAATATTTTCCTACCAACCCAACGACCCTTACAATGGGAAGTGAAAGTGAAATAGTAGGGAACAACATATCTTAAGCCTAAAATTATAATAAAACATCCAGTCAGTTCGTTTATCATTGAAACACAGGGAACCCATAAAGACAACATAGAACGAAGACACTAAAGTCATCCACATGAACTTCCAACTTACCATTTTTAACAAAGTACGAAGTCTCATCATAAAGTTCTTTATCAAAGCCTGGTTTTCTCCTTACAGACGTTTTTGACTTCTTTTGCTGTTCCAGAAAGATTAAGCTTAAGCTTAAATGATTTTTAATCTTAATATATTTGACTAAAATATTTGACAATCATTTGCATTTTTTAGACCGATCTCATCATAGGAAATACCTTTAGACTCTTCTTTTCTTCTTTGCTTAATTTCCTTTTCTTTCCAGTAGATTTACTGCTTTCTTTTACTTGTTTCGCATCATCGAAAATGCAGTCACTCTCGTCCGCCATCTTGAATGTTGACATATTTTAAGGTTGAGAAAGACTGTAACCGACTCTCATATGAGTCTCGTTGTGGTGTCGAGGCTATTGGATAAGTGACCTTCAGACGGTTTTTACTGAGTCACGTTTTGTGTTGTTTGACTGTGTTTTTCTCTGTCATGGACGTTGAATTAAAAGAAAAACAAAATGTATTAGTCCTCTGGTCAGGGAATCATCCTCCTAAGGATATTGAAGAAGTCATAGGACATTATAATAAGATGGTTGGACAAGGCGGAAAAGTTTCGTTGGAACACTCTGACAGACTACACATGGGTGAGCTTCACGTCATCGTTAATAGCAGTGTAGCTTATGTAACTTTGAATTAAACTGTATTGGTTGTATAACAATTTATTTTGCTTGGTTAAACTTACATTGAAGTAAATATGCAATCTTAATGTTGTGTTTTTGGTTAAATTTCTTATTTGCGTGCTCAGTAACAATTAATATTGCAGTCACGTACTTCTCTTTGTAAAAGGCCAGACATATATGATTACAATCAAGTGTTTAGTCTATTTTCTAGATGATGTGAGCCTGATCTGGGCTATTATTTCCAGAAGAGACATCACATGAGATTTTTGATRTATATTTAGGATTACTCCTTCTTTGTAGAATAATTTTATTTTAGGGCTGCCCTTACCAGTAGTATCTTTGCATTAGCAGTACTAAAGAAGTTACATAATTCACCTGAATTTGCTCACATCTGGTTTGTTGATTAACAAACAAAATGTAATAAAATCAGGCGATGCCACCAGCTTTCCTACAATGTATGTTTGGGACAATCTACTGCAGTCATAGTTCGGGACATTATACTTCAGTCATAGTTTGGGACAATCTGTAAGATAAAATTTATAATTATTTGTCCAGCTTCTCATGGTGGTTCAAGCTTTGATGTTGTTTTGTCTGGAGTGATGATTGATTCAACACAAGTACATACTATGGAGTTATTAACAGAAATTGCTAGAATACTCAAGCCAAATGGAAAGCTGCTACTCAGGGAATGTGTTGGTAAGTTTTGCAATAGAGGTGTCTATTCACCAGCATTTTAGGACATTTGGATGAATTTAATATTCAAATTCATTGCATTCATTAATCATTCAAACAGAAATATACTCAGTTGAGTAAATTGTCATTTTGCAGGAGCCTCGGAAGGAAAAAGGTCTCCAGAGAAAATAGTGTCTTCTATGAAGCTGTCTGGATTTATTGACGTTTCTGAGGTACACTATCTTTAAGGAGTTTGTGCGAGCATTTTTTATACACCTTTTCAATACTTCATTAACATTTTGTTTTTATTACATTGTCTTTTTTACAGCCCAAAGATATGTCATCAATTGTTGAGGTAAATACAACCATTGATTATTAAATTTTGTTTAAATCAATATTGTCGGATTGTGATTATTCACCAAACCAGTGACTTATGGATTTGTTTTGCATCAAACTGTATTTATAAAGCACATAATTGTGATTTAGATATCTTGTCTGAAGCCAAACTTTGAAGTTGGTGCCACTTCTCAACTATCATTTTCTTTTGCTTCAAAACCAGGTAAGTATTGTTGTAAGACGCTTAAATCAAACTTGAATTTTGAATTCAATTTACAGATGATTGGATCAATACATTTATTATTCCAAATAGATTTGTACAAGAAATGAAATAAAGATAAAGTGTATTTCTGCTCAATACTGCCTTTATGTTGTTTTAGCTCAGCCAAAGGTTGACAATAATGCTGCAAAAATATGGACCTTGTCAGCTCAAGATATTGATGATAAAGAAGTCGTAAGTCAACAACATGAATGACAATGAACTAATTCTCTAGGAATGACATCATGAGATAGAATGACATATTAAAATTTGCAAATTATCATTTATTTGCGGAATGGCAGTAAATGGCTTTTTGTCATTTGATTTTTCTTTAGGATCTAGTGGATACAGATGCTCTGTTGGATGAAGAYGATCTAAAGAAACCTGATCCACTGTCTTTGAAAAGTAAGTTTKTCATTGGGCACCAATAAAATATTCTTAYTCAATGCAAACTTTAATAGWTGTTTGTTGTTGYGGTAATRTTTTCAAAATGTGGTAAATGCCAAATACAGTATGKCACAAGCTCATATCTGCTCTTTGTGAATGAGGGAGTGATCATTGGMTCAATATTTTGAAGTCACAGTTTGAATACTCTATAAAATAATGCATTCATAATTTGACATTTTCTAGGTGATTGTGGCACAAATAAAATTGGTAAAAAGAAGGCATGTAAAAACTGGTAAGTTTCTTGTGTTGTTGATTTTATTGTATTGASRAGTGATGAGTGATGCATTTGTTTGTTGTTAGTACTTGTGGTCTTGCTGAGGAACTTGAKGGAGGCAAACCAACAGCCACMAARACAGTTACATCATCCTGYGGAAGTGTAAGTGAAGTATTCTAGTTGCCCTGGTTACTTAGTCATACTTTATGAAACTAACATAAGTTGCCGCTTTCTAGTGTTATATTGTTCTTATGCAAAATAATATTGCACATAAAATGTCGTACATCTTCACGTCAAAGAACAGTTTGGATCTTGAGCCAAATYCCATACTGGTAGAATTGATCATTTCTTTTTTTTTTCACTTGACTGTCCTTCATTTCTTCACTTTTTCAGTGTGTGTCGGATGTCCAAATGAATGAACACAAACTTTTCACTTGAAATAACAAACATATTTACTCTTTACTAGTGTTACCTTGGCGATGCCTTCAGATGCTCTACCTGTCCTTACCTTGGTATGCCAGCTTTCAAACCTGGTGAGAAAATTGCACTTACRGACAGACAGCTAAAAGGTGAYATCCAGTAGGRRAATTRTCACGTATTAGRCATGAAATATTATAGGTATCCTGAACCTGCTACTCAGTCAAAGTTCAGTACTTTTGGTAATCATAGATAGTATGTAGATTCTATCACTGACTTTACCTCAGTTTGCTCTCTGTAGTTGGACTTAACCAACAGATCATGTAGTCTACATCCTCAGGAACCCAGACGTAATCTTCTGTCGTTGAGGAACGAACGACAGAAGATTACCCATTCCTGAGGATGTGTAGTCTAGTGTAAGAAAGGTTTAAAARTTTGCACTTTTTGAATGTAAAATATTTATGTTCTCTTTGCATTTTGATGGTCTCTGTACAAGAATGATTTTCATACTGCTCTAATTATTTATATCAAAGAATATGTTGACCTCAATATATATGAATCCATTGCTTACATGCTGAAAATATCACCATTTTAAATATAGTCTGCGTTAGGACTAAGCGGGGCTGACAACTCTCTTTTTTGTGAGGAAGGGTAGGGAGGGTGAGCACTCCAGAAAATATAMAGAAATTGTCATACAACGATCACAAGGCATAAAATGACTGGAATGGGCWGCCCTACAAAGTYCTGATGTAATTATTCTACCAAATAACCTCAACTGCACATAAAATTATGAGAAGGTTTAGATAACATTGATAGAACATAGAAAGGGATTTTCATAATAAGTATATTGCATATTACAGTATTACAGTATCATTGTATTTTTATTGTACAAACTYATTGGGAAATTGATTGAAGCTAAAAAACTGCATTAATAAACAAATAGCAAAATCGGCTTTCTTATTGGGCTGTGGAATAAATCACAAGCTCACAATCTTCATTAATTTGTAAAATAGAATTCAGTGAAATAACTCTTACTGATTAAAAATGTTCTRTCAAATAACTGTGTGAGATCATTCCCTATGTACAGTATTGTTTTGGAAACATTGCAATCATCCTACCCCCTGTGTGTAGCTAATTGTTCTCTGTTCCCATGACTCACGTAAACAAAGAAACGTGACTCGAACATAGAAGACACCAAGATGGCGAACCACGTTATGCCTAAGTTTTCTACTTGGACTAAAGAGACTTACATCAACCCCAGCAACATGCCAGAGAACAGATTTTATACGCCAAGCTTATTTTCTAACTTTGGTCATATTCAAGACCATGGCGCTGGCAGGGAGAAGTGGTTTAATGACTATCGTAGGTCTACCATCGCACAAAGAACACTTCGCAATGGACAATTGTCTATGAATCCACCACCTATTCGCCCTACAGCTTATTCAGACGACCCTGATAGAGTTCTTGGAAAAAGAAAAATGAGAAGAGAAGCTGTTTTGAACAAACCTCGTCATCATTTAACCAACAGAATTCCTGACCGAGAACGCGATCGATCTCAAATCGACGATATTACATTCCAGCATCGACAACAGTACAGAGATCAAAGTGAGACATTGTATGAACATCGATTGCCGTATTTTCATTATCCTACCGAAGCCCAGGACCAGTTTTTGCCACGTGTACGACAACGAAGTGATTATATGGGTAACTACCCGAATAATCGCCGAGCTGCTTTGGAGTATACCTACGATAAAGAACGAGGACCAAAACATTTTGAACTCTGGCACAAGGTTTAATAATAAAGGGGAAAAAAACAATTTATTATATAATGATTTAGTTATTTTACTCATAGAATATTGGAAGGTTTATAATTTAGTATACAATGTCCACAAGATATATTCGATTGCACTTCGTATTAAATTGAAACATTATTCAGAATTGAAACGTTCAGTAGTTCTTGTGCTCTTTGAGTTAAATGCTGGCTGGGATATTCACCAATTTTTTTGTTGAGGAATGCATGGGAGAGGGACTTCATAGGTTTATGAATTTCTCAATTGTGTTTGTTGATCAGTAATTATATCGTTTGGTATTCATTGTCTTTGTTTTGGTTCCCAGGGCGTCCTTGGACACCGTTGTTAAGGGCAATTATCATAATCCGTGCCGCATTATATATAGGCTTATGTTATAATTGCTTTTCATGTAATTAGAGTTTTGTGGCATTTATTTAATACTTTTTCCTCAAATATCAAGGAATATTCAAAACTTTGGTCWCTGAACTGCAAATGGCGTTCTGTGTGACAACTTAGGGACTCTTAGGATATTGCGTGACTGAAGTGAAAAAAATATTTTACGTTTTCTTTAGAATGCAATTTGAAATAAACAATTCTGAGAAAAGTGGGGTGCTTTTCAAACGTTATGAGTCCTGGCAATCTTAACACAATATTGCTTAGTTGCCATTGAAGCAAGACGTTATTTATGCAATGGGGTAAAATAAGACATTTATGCTGTTCAAGCAAACAGAGTAGATCAAAGTAGAGGTGGTCTGAAGGTAAGTGAGTTGTTTGTTCGTCTTGGTCACTACCCYGGGTTTGATTCTTAGATGAGGCAATCATGTTGTATTCTTAATAATAGACAAGACCCTACAGTCTYATTAAGATGCTCATCACTTTGGGGCTACTATTACAAACTGCAAAGTTATATGTGACTTTGTTTGATGGCAAAAAATGAACAATTATTAGGAACATTAAAGCTAATGATTGAATGATCACTAGTGAGACCACAAGATAAACTAATATACATGWCATGAAAAGCTTTATCAGTTTATCATTGCTTCCAAGGACTTAATGCATTTACTGCGTAATGTGTTCCATTCATTTCTAACTCATTTATTRATGGAAAATATTTACAAATGTATTCTTGTAAGTAGTTTGAAACTTCATGAAGTTAAATAATTTTAAAATGTTGTTTAAATTTGTCCCCATCCACATTTGTTGTTTCTGGTGTCATCGTATAGAGAGAAATCAAAATGTCCATGATAATAAATATAATAAACTGTCTTTCAACAAATTTCAGCAAGCAAGAAGTTATTGTCCAACAATAGAATTATATAAATCTGCTTTGTATGGCTCGTTTTGATCATGATGACTTAATAATTTCAGTGTAGGTACTAGATCATTGTCATTTCTTTTCGTCTTTAGATACTTGTCCTTGCATTAATGATCTATCTGCAACATAAGGTTTTCAGTAAGTTAGTTGCACATACTTGCTTTACATAGTTCAACTGATCCAGTATTGATTAAATCCGAAAAGGACCCCTTAAAAACAGCACAGACTCTCCACACTCCTCCATTTTAAATTAYCTAATCCAAAACAAGACAGCTAAAATGAATAAGCTTCGTCACGTGGCAAACTGCAGTTGCTCATACTTATGATAAGTCAATGTTTACGTCCAAAACCATGAAGTTCATCGAAATAATGTATATTCGTATGGTGGAAACATTATCAACTTACTTTTTTCGGGAAAATGTCTYTTTTCCTTGCGTTGTTGTGGCACAGCCGTCGCAAAGTCCAATCGACTATCRTGATGTTGATTTGAATCTCCTTTGAATACAGAGCTTGCAAAGCCGTCRGGGTTGTGTTTTCTATTTGCTCTAGTCCAGTCTTGCTTGGCATTGAGTTCTACTGTGCACCATGATTCGATATTCATAATAAAATGTTAGTTCTCGAAGCTCAATAATAACCTAAAAGTTCAAAAACTGGCTCACAAACTGCTGTTCTTCAGCTGTTCTGGAATTTTGTATACATCTGTTGCTATGGCGATTATAGGCTCTTCACCAGTCTCCTGCTCGACTTTTGTAGAACACAGGGGACCCACGTGAGATAAAATCTAAGATTAGCATTTTGTAAACGATATGTTAAGAGTTATCCCTTATTCCGTGAATTTGAAAAATTAAGTTTTCAGTGTCTTTTAAGCCTCTCTAAGCATGTCTCTTTGTCAATTCAGATGCAGAGGTGTTGGTGCCAATAGCAGGCTTCAGCACACAACTCGACACCTGATATGACTAGCATTGCTATCTTAACCAAATGCTCCCTTTCCTCAGAAAGTCATTGGTGTTGGACAGAYTTCAAGCAACTCCCAGGAATTTTCTGTAATGGCACCTTTCCCTATCAGTGATGTTTATTTAACATGCTGACATGGTATGTTAGTTAATAATAGAGTGATCACACTTAATCCGTGCAACTGTACAAACTAAATAGTTTTATTTAGTTGTATTTAGTAAATCGTGCATGCAGTATGCAAACTAAATTGAATTGATACAAATGAATCATTCAATATCATCTTTCTTCAGGTCCACTTTTAGCACAAATTAATACTACTAATAGATTTTGTACAGTTGCACGCTTTAAATGCGATCACTCTAACATGGCAACAAAATATGTTTGTTAAGATCACTGAAAGAAAAAACATTTCCCATCAAAGACACAAACACAAAGTCTCTGTAAATTTACATTTTTTATTATTTTGTTCTCGAAATTTAYTTCTTCTTCATGGCTTCAGCCTCCGCCTTTTCTTTGGCTCTCTTTTCCCTGATACCAATCAGACGAGCATTCGAGCGCTCAATTCGCATATGYTTGAAGACACTAAACTTCTTCTCCTCTTCTGTGATTGGACGAGCCTTGATCTGTGTGCTTGGTTGTTGGATAGGCATAACCCGTCCTTGGAGCTGCACAGCATTAGCAAGATCAGCAGCCTATAGTCAATGAGACGAAGGATCAATATATAAAAATGCTTTGATGAWACAAAATGGTTTTACCTATTAACAAAATACGGTTTGGTTTGTACATCAACAATACTACCCTTTAATTCAGTTMAAGTTTAAAATAATGTCTAAGGTTTTTAATGCTTCTTAATGTAGTTATTGTTGTATTTTTGTATTGATAAACCATATTTCTCACCTCACTGTCACCCTGTTTGGGTTTGTTGGCCTTCTTGGGGAAAACAATCAGTTTACTCTTGTACTCCTTAAGTCTCTGTACATTGGCTTGTAGAGACTCAGCAGATCTGTTTTTCCTACGGTGATCTACAGCTATTCCAATGGTTGGAGCAACTTTGCGGGGAATACCAGCAGCCTAAACAATGAAAATTATTTTTAATAATACTTATAACCAACAGGTTCACTTACATAGTACATTTATATTGATTCAAGCAATTCTGACTGCTAACAAATGTATCGATATATAATATGCAATCTTATTTAGTGAGGAAAGAAAAAAATCATCTACAATTACYCATGATGGACCCTATAAAATGAGCTCACCTTTAACTCCTCAAGAGTAAATCCTCTACCAGCTCTTATCTTAGTGTTATATTTAAAGGTTGGACAACGAACTATGGGTCTGACAGCTCCTGTGACAGGACGAGGGGCGATCTTTATGGCTTTTTCCTTACGTGCAATRCGTCTTCTCTTCTTACGTCCAGGTTGATTGAACCAAGTCTTGACATATCTCTGCCAGTCCTTGTGGAAGTGGGAGTTGTGAATTACATTGTTATGCTTAGGAGCCATGGTGGTTTAGTGAAGGGAAACCTTTCAAAATAAACCAAAAAGCATCTTTATATACATACATACAACATTTTTAGMAGTAAATCTTGCCWAGCAAAASAGAACCAGCTTACAAACTCAWATCACATCATGCAAGCAATTCTATTCCCTAAGGAAGGAGRCAAGTAATGATATTATGCATATCTCTCATTAACATTGGCAAATCTACTCTGTGGACATCGCACGATGACTGTTGTGTGTCGAGTTTTAAAGTCAAGTTAATTCACATGGATACATTATAAAAACTTCTCCACGAAACGCACAGAAAAAAACGTTAATGTTGGCTGTAGTTTTTYAAAATTTCCTTTAGCCATATCTTTTTAGATACAACACATATGAAGTTCACTTCACATGTATGAAATACATTTTCTACATTTCGTTATAAATATATCGCTTGAAATGAGATTGAATTTGAAGAGACAGCGTAATGTTATGACTCGTCCAATTATTCTGGTGTATTTGAAGAGAACTATACAATTACAGACAAAAATACACAGTCGCTATCATGGATTAATCATATATCTTTTATTGTATGTTCAATCGAGATCAGTATCTTCTCGGATGATGGTGATTTTGGACGATTGTTTTTAGTATACCAACCTTCTTTCTAAATTTCCACCAGATCGAGAGAAAGAGAACGAGAGCGAGTGCGCGCAAGGACTTCTGGGCGAACAACTTGAGCCCACAATTATATCAGCGGATTTCCCTCTGAGCGTTTTATTTGTGAAAAGCTTTGTACTATACTAAAACTTTGTGTAAGGATAAAATCTGTTTTTTWAACACAGTTTCCTCGATTATTGATTAAAAATGTCAATACAGAAAAGAAAGAAGACCCCTCAAGAACTTAGTGCCGAAGGATCTGTTTCAGAGACCTTCAAAAAAGCACTTAAATCCRGCTCAACCTGGGAAGATAAGGTATGGCAGTACGTCAGCAAAATTATCTGCTCAGTTAATGTTACGTCTTTTATCAACTCGCAGTACTTCATCGTAAGAAAGAAATTATATAAAGAATATCAGATTTGATTCTAAATTTTTTCCCATGTCTTCAGTTTTTGGGATCAATTAGGAATTGACTGCAATCAATTGACCCCTTAAATTGCTGTCTAGCTTAAATATTAAAAGTACATGTRCCTTAAATACACGTGGATTTTCCTGTATCATTAGTATTGATTGTAATTTAAGATATCATTTAAGAATTGACCTGTTTTTTAAATTTTCAGGAAGAATTCTTGGATGTTATTTATTGGCTAAGACAAATAATTGCTGTTTTCCTTGGTATTCTATGGGGGATAGTACCATTGAAAGGAATCTTAGCTATTGCTCTGTAAGTATGAAGGAGAAAAGGATGTGCTCTATCAGTTTTATCTTAAGATGTGACGTAACATGCTCTTGAGATTTTTAAACCTACTTTCTATCTCGTGTTTGGTTGTAAAAACAAGACAAAAAAAACATCAAAAAGTTGGCTTGATTGTTTGAACGATTGACTGATCTATTGGTTGATTGGTTGCTGAATGTTTTCAGTTAAGGAGTTCCAGGTGCCAGAGCATGCATACAGCTCTTACACAAAAAAAAAACATTCTAAAAATAAATGATACTGCTGAATTTTTGTTTTACAGAAGAACTTAACCATCAATTCTTTTCAATTTTTAGGTTCTGTTTAATAAATGCAGGGGTTGCATATGTTTACTTCAGTAGCTTTCAAAAAATTGATGAAGATGAATATGGAGGGCCATGGGAACTAACAAAAGAAGGCTTTATGACATCTTTTGCTGTTTTTTTGGTAGGAGATCTTCAATARCCTGYGTTACATCYGGTGGCAAATAAAACCGGATGTAATGCAGGGTAATCTTCAATGAATATCGTGTTGTCTTATATCTCATTTCCATGAGATGCATGATTTTTTACGWGTGTTATTCATGTCAACAGGTATTTTGGATCATAATATATTCTGCACTACATAGTCCTTGAAAGAACCAGCAAGCAAAAGTACAACTTTAATGTCAAGAATGAACCTATGGTTGCATTGCAAAAAATAGCCATGGACATTTTGAATTGAAATGCAACACTTTCTCAATGGAATTGAAAGTTCGACTGTATTAATGTAAAGATTGATTGAGTGGTTTAACGAAATAAGTCATGTCATAACTTATATAAAAATAATGGTCTGTTGGTGGCTGATTTACTGCTGAGGCCATTTTTAATCAAGCAAACCAAAGCCATGGTAAAACTCCAGGAATCAAGAATTTGTGTCATGAATGCACAGTCACCTGCATTTCAGTGTTCTTGGCAATGATGGKGAAACTATTGTTGCAGCTGTGTGTTTCAACTTTCAGATACTCAGAGTTTGATGAAGTCTACACAGAAAGCAAAAGTTACATTGTGGCAAGATGACATTAATCTTGAAAAAACATTGCTTTGCTTACAAAAGATTGATTTACATTATACGAGGAGATTCAAAAGTCATATTATGCCCAGCAAAATAGTAGCAGAATGAACTTCTAGTTTCAGTTATAGTGTAAATTTATCTTATTGTTATTGCACCTGCATCTTCAAATATATATATAAATCTCAAAGCCTAGTTAACCCAATACTTTTTAAATGAAAAAATAATGCATTTTAATTTCAAATAATTAGAAATGATTTAATGTTGTTATAGTTTTTCTTTCATCCCTGCACCATTTGATAAGGTAGTTGTGTCTTTGTCTATGCAGCTGGTAACATTGGTAGCCTAAATGTCAGGTGCACAGGGTGAATGCTGGTCAAGTTTTGATGTAAAGACATAGCTTCTTTTGAATATGGTGYTGGGGCCCATGAAAATATTTCATTTTGAAAGCTGTGGYAAATTTTGGGGTGCATACCATGAAGAGTTTGGGAAAACAGCTGCATATAACTATTTAGTACCATCCCTTACTTATATTTCCAAGACTTCTTATTCTTCTCCAACAGRTCCTGTATTCATTTTCAATTGACAAAGAATTAACTCATCAAATATACAAACACGTGTAAAGAAAAAACAAGAGTAGAATGTGTGTTTGTCAACTGCATCAGTGACGCAAACTGGTTTTGTACTGATCTCATGAATAGTTCAAATTACTGATTGCAAATTTTGCAGATATACAGCGTGCACCCTAGTTATTTGCATAGTATCTCATTTTCAAAATAAAAAGAAATATTAAAATCATAGATGTTGCCAAATTAATTTTAATTACCCCAATCATAATGTATAAATTATAAGAAACCAAGCAATTGGTTATTTATTTTGTATTATTATATTATCAAATAAAATAAGTGATCAATTCTTTAAGATTTATCATTATATTTCATGTTTACAACATACAAAATCTATCACTACCCCGCTCCCCTCCCCCATCTCGCAAACCTGACCCGCGCCCGCGGGAACTACAAGTAGACAATCACGTGTCAAGCGTTGTTGTCAGTTCCACTGAAGCTGTACGACTAGTCGTGAAAGATTTCAATAATGATGCACTTTTAGTGCAGGATAGAAAACCTGCTTTTCCAATGATCGAACAGAGCATAAGATGGACAGAAATGATAAGATTGAAATGGAAGCCATGGTCAATAAGAAAGACGATGGCGTTAAAGAACTGACACGCGCTCTGGTAAAAATGCATGATGGTGACCTTAAAAAGATCACACAGCAGTTCTTTTGATTTTCGCACACAAAAACTGCTTTGATGATGATTTTAGGTCCTTTTTGTTCATTGTGTTATTGCATTAAGGACAACGCTATTATTTGCTATTGTGGGGTTTTCAAAATGGTGATTTTGAACGCACGTTTCACGAGAATATTTTGATTGCTTTTCTATGAAAAGTTCACTTCATTGATTTCTGAAATTGTTRACAGATATTGTTGAACTATTAGAAGCAAATAGAGAACTTCCCACAAGAAATTATCCCCGTTAAGTATCTTGTATTTAAAGTCTAATAATTGAATTTCGTTTTAGAATGGAACCGAGTTCTCGTTCAGAAAATCTGCACGCTGGAGACTTCAAACCAAGCGTCAGGATTTGAATCAGCAAATTTATAAACAAATGAAACTTCGCGATGGCGCCGAAAACTTACTGAAAGCTCTACGGTAAGTGAAGTAAACAATGTTGTTTTTACTGTGGTTTTCCTTTGAATTGATAGGAACTTTGATTTTATTACTGTCATTTGTGTAGATTACACACTTCGTGATACAGTTTGTGCCAGAAAAGACTTGGTGATTAAAAAAAAAATGCTTGTAATTTTCTCTTCACAAAGTTTAGTTAATATTCTTTAAAGGAAACCCCACAAGATTAAGATCTGGAGTATTTTGTGTAATTTTGCTATCGTTACTGTATCCTAGGGGACTCTGCATGGTGCATAATATTTCATTTTAAAATATTTAGTATTGTTCGAAAAATGAGTTCAATTTTGGTGACAAAATAAAGTAAAAAAATGAAGGTGTACTTGATTTTTTTTTTCACGGAAAAATATTCTAAGGGTGTATTTAGAAACGGCAAAAAAAATCGAATGATTAAACGAATGGGAAGGCAATATTTAACTTGTTTATACCAAGATTTCAAGATTTCTCTCATTTTAGTTGTAAAGTTTCAATTGTAATTATTTATCAGAACAGCATTACAAAGTCTAACTGTGTAAACATATGACATTTTATGTAAAATTGACATGATCTTTGATCTTGATCAGATTTTATATGATCTTGAAAATGTATCAAGGAAGCGCAACACAGTTACACTGAGCATTGTTACAGAACCAAGATTAAAAAAAAAAAATTGTTGACAGCTTTCAATTACATTGCAATCTCAGCATAATAGATAGGACTGTAGACAATATCTTAAATCATGGCAATTGTTTACTGTTATAAGGACTATCCATGAACTTAGTTCTTTAACTTGACCTATATGATTGTATGCTTCTTATAAATCATTCAAGGTTCAAGATGAGCTTATTGTTGCATGTCTTTTTCAGGCAAACCAATGACCGTCGAATCAAGAAAGCAGCAAAGATGGAACTCAGCAATGCCAGCTCACAGCTTGACCGTCTTAGAGAAGAACTTGAGGGCATCAACTCTGCATTTGATGTGTACCAGTTTGATGAGTAAGATGTTGCCTTTCACAAGAAATAAATGAATTAAATACTTTCACATTTTACCTCAGAAGGCCAAGAACTATGATTATACAAAGCCACTCAACTTGTAGCATGCATTGTTACTGTTCAAGTGTAGTGTCAGTGCCTGAGCATAGGATCAAACTTGTCRCACAACAAAAAGHAGGCCATGTACAATGAGAAACACTCACACTAAACTTGAATGCTCAGCAACAATGTTGCACAATAAGTTGAGGTTATTTGTATCTTGTATTCTCCACCTTGACTATTGGGAACCAGAAATAATGATTAAATTTGTATCCTCTCTATGATTTAATTTGTAAGCTGTAAAATAAATATGGAGTAAGATTCATTGCGTCACACATCAATCTTATGATGTTTAGGACCATGGAAAACCAGATACCTATGGTATCTTTAGGATTAAGAGAAACTTCAGAAYTGAAATTCAAGCTCCCATTTATGGTACGTTAACATGACATATGATTGATTAATATTTTGTTCTATATGATAAAGGTAATATCTTTATTCAAATTAACAGGATTTCATCAAATCACACTACCATGAAGATCCTGAAGACTTTGAGAATGAACTAGAAGAGTACAAAGAGTTACGAATGGTACTATTTTGATGTCAGTGAATCTTAACAGTATGAAGCAAAAGAACAACAAATGTTAAGGCATCAGTTACCATAAATTCTCGTATTTTAATGTCTAAGGATATGTGTAATCCAAGCCGAGATGAAAAAGGCTGTCAGAAGCTGCATCAATACTTCAATCAGCTATATTTCATTGAAAAGAAGTTCTTCTCCAAAAAAGGATCAATGCCAGTTTACTTTCAGTGGTAAGTTTACAGTAGATTATTTGTTTATTCATCCATTCATTCATTTCATCATTTATTTATTGATTTATTTGGTGACTAATTGATTGATTGATTTATTGATTGATTGACTCATTGATTTATTGATTGATTGACTATAAAAATACCATTTTTGACATGGCAGGTATGATGCTCTCACAGGACTTCCAAAGGTTCAAAGATCTGTTGCTTTTGAAAAGGTAATCAGAGTTGATTAAGTGATTTGTTTCTGGCTTTCCTTTTTTGTATCTCCACGTTTATTATTTCAAAGTAAATGTTGGAAATGTTTTGCTCCCTATTCAGGCCAGTGTGTTGTTCAACATTGGAGCCTTATGGTCTCAAATAGCCACAAAGCAGGTATGAATATTACATGTATGTAATATCTAAACAACTATCTTTGCATAGATGGTAAACATGTTGAAATTAACGTTTTATTCTTRTCCAGGACAGAAGCACTGAAGAAGGAGTCAAGATTGCATTTTATTCCTTTCAGAAAGCAGCAGGTATTGTAAAATATAAAAAAGAATTAACTTACTATCTATTGCAAAAAATGATTGATCACCTTATGTCTTGATAGGTTTATTTGCTTATACTAAAGACAACTTTGTGAACTCACCCAGTGTTGACATGACTCAGGACACATTAGAAGCCTTGGCAGATCTTATGCTGGTATGCTTTAGGAACTGTTAGAATTAGTACCAATGTCATTGCTGTTGTTTTCCTTTTTCTATTTTACCAGTTTACTGATGTTTTTTTTATTGTTTTCATTGTCAGTAAAACAGTTCTCAATTCAGAGTTGTTTCTTGCAGGTCCAAGCACAAGCTTGCTTGTGGGAGAGAAAACTGCAAACGCAAACTCATAAGATTCAAGAAGATTTTGAAGAGAGCATTAAAGCAGGACAAGAATGTGCTGAGGTACTTTTAATATCCACAAGCATTTATTTTATTTAATATTGTGTCAAACAGTCCATGATAATTTTGCTACAGGAATCAATTTATAGGGAACTTACAGGATCCCAGAGCCTCCAACTTTTGTACAAAATGTCTTGCCATCACATTAACTCTTTGTTTGATTGCTTGTATTTTAACAGATCTGTCAGGGATATAACAAAGTGTTTTTATTAATGAACACTGGAATTTGCATGGATGCCATACCAATCGCTTGGAGAAATATGGTTAAGGTAATCAATAAAGTTCAACAAGATGTAGATTTTGTTTTACTTAAATTAGGATATTTATATTAATGAAGTTACCTTATTTCATAGATCATGTATCTGTATTATAAATCCCTTTCTCACTACTACACAGCAGTTGGACTTTTGCAGTGTCATTGTAAGTAATGAGAGATATTTCTGACAGCATTTGTTTATTAATGGTAATGTAAAAGCAAATATCACGAATACAATTTCCCCCTATCATTCTATTCTCATGCATTTATTTTCACTTTTTTCTTCTTGAAAGCTTTGCCAAACTGTGAGCCATTGTTGCTTGACATGATTCCATCATTGTATGCTCCACAAGCCTCCAGTACAAATGTATTACAGAAGCACGGTAGGAGAAATGACTTCATTGTTAAGATAAATATTAGAAAGAAGCTTGTTTATTATGACAAATTTCCATTTGTTCAAGCATATATAAAATCAACATTTCATGTTTATTAGCTAAAGCACATCTACACACTGCCTTGCGTAACCATGAAGATGCAGCAAGAGCAAAGCAAGTTTGTAGCTACTGCAGGAAAATGGGTTCTTTACAAAAGGTATTAGTCTGAAACTAGTTTATCATTGCCTTCATTCTGTTATGAATGCTAACAGCAAGTTCACTCAATCTATTATTTGTTGTTGTTAGGTTTTGGCAGAGTCTCGTAACCAGTTAATGAAACAGTTTATTTCGATGGAGGAAGAAGATGACTTTGATGACCCTATGTCACCCACCCCTGTAAAAGGTATTTTCTAGTTTAAACAAAGTACTGTTTATAAATGAAGTCACTTTTTGGAAATTAAGTATGTTTCTTTGCAGCTTATGTTCAACAGAAAGCTGAACCAGTTCCCCCAGATTTTAGTGATACAACAGTAGAAGACCTTTTCCATAGATTGGTAAGTGGTTGAGAAGATTCTGCACAACTCTTGAAACACGCGGCTCAATCACAGCAATGATTTAGAGAACACTGCACTGATTGGCTCATAGCAAGGAATGGTTCATTTCACACTCATTAAGGATTATGTAGAATGCTTTCTGGGATTTGAGTGTGTATATATAAAGCAGAATACTGTTTCATCCATTCAGGAAAAAATTATTCTCCAAATACACTCCAGATCCCATATCTCAACTTCATTTGAATCTTTGTCCATAACAATGGAATAAGTCTTGGATATATTTAGTTCATTATACATATTGTTTCTTTCTTAGCATTATTGCATTGTTGCATCATTATTTTCAGTTTCTGTTGAGTAAATTTATCAACTTATTGCCATTACAGGGTCCAGTTCATGTCTTCAATGCAGACTCAAACCTAAGCAGGACAAGAACCATCACAGTCAAAAGAAAGCATGGTAGTTTTGGTTTCAGTGTGATTGGTTCAGCTCCAGTTATTGTACAGTGTGCTGAGGAGCATGGTGCATCTTGGGTAGGCGACAATATTACGAACAATATGTAGGATAGAGGAAGTTATATTATGTCCATTTATTGTACTATTTAACAATTAGACCTCGAGGTCGAGTGGACTACGAACTAATAGCCCATGAGGCCGAGTCAGCGAGGCCAAATGGGCTATTAGCTCGTAGTCCACGAGGCCGAGAGGTCTAATTGTTTTAGTATAAACATACTAATCGGTCAAATAATGAAAACAAATTGAAATATCCTTAAAATAATTTATAATTTATGATTTATTTATTTTGATTTTCCCGCGAGTGGTCTATCACAAATTAGACCATTAGTAGAGTAGCCAATCACAGCGCAGTATGAGTGATAGACCATTAGTATGTTTATACTAATGGGTGTTATCAGACAGATAAAAGCTTTTTCTAATCATTGGCTTTTCCAGTATCATTGTATCACTGGTTGCAGGAGTACTGCTTCAAAGTCCATTCTTTTATTTCAATTTCTTTTATTCATAATGTTCTCATTTCTTCTACCTTCCACTTATAGGATGCTGGATTACAAGTTGGTGATATCATTACTGGTGTTGATGGTGCTGATGTTAAATGGGACGAACACACAGATGTTGTTGCARTCATTAGAGACAAAGCAGAAACTGTCACATTAGACATAAAAACTCCTTATTCATTAAAAGAAATTGCAACTCATTGTAATCTGAGAGTCATCAAAAGCGACAGCTCTTTGTCAACTAATGACAAGATGTCCATCAGTAGTGATGGATCAACATCATCATCATTGAATCCAAGTATAAGCGATGGAGGTTCAAACGACTCAGAAGGCAGCAATCCAATAAGACAACGCCGCAGAAGGCCTATTTTTAGATATAGTAGTGACCCTTTTGTAAGATAAAACAACTAAAACAGCTTCAATGGAAACTTTTTGTATAAATGTGTAATCACAGAGTGGTATCTTAAACCAAAAGCCAAAATAACCCCATGGGTCTGGAATTAMGAGCTGACAAAGTCAGTAGTCAATTACAGCAGGAATTTCTTTCAGTCATTTATTATTTTTCATTTTGGAATTTTTATTTTGTTATTTCTATTTTATTATGTCACTGTAGAATAGTGTAGTTCTGACTATTTTGAGTTTTTTTTCATGTACAAATACTTTATATAATTATGAATGAGCTCTACTTCTTTTGGAATGCTACCGATGCTATTAACCATTATATTGTACAAATATACATTACTATCATCATATTAGGTCAGGATTCCCATGGCATCATTATTTATATAATTTATCATCAAAAATGTATAGTTCTTTTATAAAGTATATTTTATGAGTGAAAATGCAGTGCTTTAACTTGTGTTTTCTCTTGCAATGTCAGAGTGAAAGCATTTAATCAGTGAAATTATACAAAATTGCATAAATTAGCACCAAGTCTGTAAAAACATCCTGTGAATTACCTTGTACTAAACTGCACAAAACAGTACAAAGAGTTTAGTACTGATTATCTGCATTCACTCTAAGCATTGTGGTTAAACTTCTCTTTTCTAAGATTCAGTAGAAAATTAGAATCCAAATTTATTATTAAAGGAGTGAAACCACTGAACAAAAGCCTTTCACAATAATAAATTTAAATACCAATTGAATGTGCTAAAACACAAGGAGAATGTGGTGAGAATGTGCTTCTCTTATAATACCATAAGCACTGATGAAATTGGTTTAAATAGTTAAGCATTACATTTTATAAAGAAATCTAATTTCAGATAAAGCAAAATAATAGTATTGTGATAAACCATAAGTTATATAATTAGCAATTAATAAAATTATATTATTTTTGCACATATGTTCATGTCTTGTGGTGTGAAAATTGAGAAATAGAAAACAGTTTTGAGGGAAATAGTGTATGCCTACAGTCAGGAATTGATCAGGGCAAGTGGACTAAAATTGCTATAGATTGATTTCTATAGCAAGAGGTCATGTGTTTARAACTTGCATTTGTTTTTTGTTTTGTTTCTGGATTCAAGCACCCCTCTGTTCAAACAGGCAAGTATTTTCTGGTTGGTGCACACAAAACAAAGTACTACTGGATTAGAGATGCATGGATAAGGAGACCAACCCTGTCCATCATGCAGAATCTAAAAACAATCTAAATATAGACTTAATAATGTTTAATAATTATTGGTAATTGACACGTTTTACAGCAATATAGAAAGTACTACDGTCCTCAATATTATGCCATCCAACAGGTCCAACCTCGCAATCTGCACACGTAAGGTATTTAATGTTTTTGACTGTGTGTGAAAATCCTACATTTTCAAATGTCATCATGTCTTTCACCATCCAATGTTTGGTTAATTCATCTCCTTCTGGATTATCTAAGCACACTTTAGTCTTCTGTTGCATACTGGGTAGAAAGAACTACAAAAATAGAAGAAATCAATGTAAGAATGCAATCATGAAGTTTCCTGGAGCTGATGCAACACCTTAAGCTGGGAATTTTGTAACAACTGAAAGAATATGAATGTGATGAAACAAATTTACAAATTATARTCACAAAATTGAAGTACAAATCAAACAGAATAGTGGGGACTAGCGGTAAACTAGTGTGAGCTGCATCGGTGTTTCTATAGAAGCAGTCCAGTTAAAAGATAAATTTAACACCATCAAAAAAGTAGGAGAAAATAACTTTCTGACGTTTCAGACGTTAATCCTTGGTCGAAGCAAAAAGATGAAGGATTAAAGGCCGAGCGTCAGTAAGTTATTTTACCTACTTTTTTACAGTGTAAATTTATCTTTTTACAAAACTGTCACAACAAAATATACAAATTTAAAGATGAAAGACAGGTAGTTTTCATAACTTTAGCAGGCTTATGTGTGCATTTTTATGCACTGAAATAAAGGAAGCTTTGAAATACAATAATATGTTAGTTGATAGTGATTATGATGATGATTGGATGTGATGTTTTGTGATGGGATTCCTGTGGTATGAAATAAGGCACGCGAAGGGAAATTGTGATATATTAGATAAATTAAACAATAGAAGTAGCATGAATATCATTCAMTCAATAAACCAACCTTTTTGTCAACAAGTTCAGCGACTTCTGGTCTAAGAATTTTTGATCCACAAAGCCGGCAGAGGATCCACTTGGAATTCAATTTATTTTCGACCAAAGAATCAAAATCGGGATCAGAATTGGTGTCCAATTGTTTAGCTTCATCTTCACTGGTCATATTAGCTTGATTTCTCGGAGACAATTGCGGTATATTTAAAGAATATTAGTTTGTTGGTTCAAGGGAAAGTATTTAGTCGTCTGGCAGCAGGAGCGGTTACCACACAGGAAGCCCAATCAAGAATTTGTATTGACTTCGGCACTTGTGAAATGCGATGAATGAAACAACTCGAAGGCTTGCCCAGTGCATGATGCATTTTATTATTATCATTATTATTTATGTCTTGTTTCTTTAACTTGATGAATTCGTAACTTTGTTTTGACAATTTTGCCAAGCCTTATAATCAGAAATTCCGGATGTAACACAGGCTGCTAACCGCCCCGAAAATGAACCTTCAAAAACACCTGTACCAAAAAAATGCTTGAAGGCCATCAAACGTGTGAAAAAATTCTCTTTTTAACGAAAAATRACCTGAAATTGCACTAGCGGAAGTCCTAGTTCAGTGCAACAGCTTACTGGTGTTTGATTGGCTACTTTGTAGACTACCCAGCCACCCGTTAGGAAGTGTCAAGCATAGTTTGGTTTGTTGATATTGATTTTCGGGAGAAAGCGACAGCGCTCAATGCTGTATTTTTGGGATTGTTGTTGTTTTAACATCGGCATTTTYTTGTGATGCTTTCATTATGAACTAGARCTGAGGCCTGAGCTGGGGGRCAATCAGAAGTTATTCWCTGAAAAKCAGCTGTCATGCGACGGTAATTTATACATACAACAAGCACGATGGAAGGTAAATATCATTTTTGATTTTCTTATATAACTCTCTTATATAACTCCTGTCAGCATGATGATGTTCAGTTAGAATAAAATTAAATTCAACATAATATATATGGCCGACTATCGGACACTGTGGGAATTGCAGGAAAAATAACTTACAGACAAAAACATTTTTTACATGAACGAATTATATTATTTCATGATTGCTCTATAAACCTATAATTGCAGAAATCGGGTCGTATCTAAAGTGGTGTTTTTTGTAAGTAAAAATGGTCATKACAGAAGCATTCATAGCGCACTCAAATTGGATCGATGTAGGTCGAACAAGACGTGGCTTACACTCGAAAACTGAGAAGCATTCAAGTCGATATCATGAATATCAATAATTTATTTTATGAGTATGAAATATAAATTTTCACGACGTTTAATATCTTGACTAWTTGACCCATATAGTTTGATTCCCGGGACCATTGATATTAAAAGCTTTTATTATCCATGCCGGGACTCGCCCATCATCTGATGATTCAAGTCCCTTTTAGGGATCATTCAGAATTTCCAARCGATGACCCTTGCTTTCTTTATAAGAGAGTAGCCCCCAGAGAGTTAGTCTTTTCTTTGTTTCTCAATCAGTTTTCTATAAGTATCGTAAAACTAACCTTTGCATACATGCAGACAAAAGAAATTCATTAATTCAAGACAGCGACGTTCAAGCTGCCAGTAGACAGCTCCAGTTTGATTGCAAGACGTCTTGGTTTGCCTGCGTTTGTGCTTCGCTKGCAAGTATTATTRCAGTTGGTACAWGTTTGGCTTATGGAATTCTTTTCCCAAAGATATTAGTAGAATTTCAAGCTGGAAAAGCGACAACAGGTAAGTTATTGTATCATGATAGCTTTCCRTTGTGACCTATTTAATTCYTGTATTGTCGGTTTTGACAGCTCTCCCAGGKTCGCTTTCAATTGCAGTTTACACAATCCTGTGCCCAGTGGCATCATTGTTCTTCAACCGCTTTGGTGGCCGAGCAGTATTTTCGTGCGGAGGCTTATTAAGTTCACTAGGTCTTCTGGGATCATCGTTTGCCCCCAATCTCTCTGTGCTCTGCTTCACATATGGTGTTCTTGTAGGTTGTGGGACAAGTCTGATTTACATGGCTGGCTTTCAAATGGTTCCCTTGTATTTCGACAAGCACCGTTCCGTGGCGACAGGCATTGTCTCATCCGGCCCWGCTGCTGGTCTTCTTCTGATTTGCCCAATAACGCAAGCAACTATAGAACGTTTCGGTTGGAGAAACACCACGCTCATTTTGTCTGCTATAAATCTAGTGAATTGCATTCTGGGATGTGCCATAACTAGAAGAGTTMACCGTGYATCAAAKGAATTGAAAAAGAGAACTAGATGCGTTCTGTCAATGAACCTCTCTGCACTAAAAGATCATTTATTAATTCTTGTGATCATCACTTTTGTTATTCTTAACTTTGGACACTACATGCCCTATGTCCATCTGGTGAGTTCTCCTTGTTCTCTCTAATACTACAATGCATCGCAGTCTTATTTAAGACTAAGACTACTGAATAGTAACTCAAAAACACAAACCCAGCTAACTTCCATCAGACGAAACACTGACAAATATCAACAGCATACAGACTCACAACTTACACCAACTAAAAACACTATTCACAGCGTAGTAAACAACCAATAAAGTAAGAGGAGGAGAAAACGGARGGGACGGAGAGGGGCCCACATCCGTTACCCAAATTTTTACCGTAGTTAGTGGGGAGGGGTTGRAACGGATGTACAGAGGCTTCATGAATGAGAGTTCTTTTGATTGTAGATCAAATTTGCCGAAGACCTGGGAATATCAAGTAAAAACTCCTCGTGGATGTACTCCATTATTGGCATAATATCAACCATGTCAAGAATATTCACAGGAAAAATAGGCGATATTGGGCGTGTATCATTCTACCACATCAATCARATAGGAGCTTTATTAATGGCTATAAACGTCTTTCTAGTAACATTAGCGTCAAAAGTCAGTCATCTTTATGCTTATGCTGTGATGCAAGGAATATGTGAGGGAATGTATTTAACTTCGTCTTATTGTTTGACAATGTCTGCCAGTCCTCAGCAAGGTATTGGTTGGTTAATGCTCTTTACGTCAATCCCAATCTTCATCAGTCCTCCTCTTGCAGGTTAGTATATGTATAGTAGTGATAACTCGGCTTTCTCAAAACGTTACTGCTTCACAACAGCTATAGTTGCCGGCAATCACATTGTGGGGAACAACACGAGCGTTTGATAAAAGAGCAGTGCGCGGTTAAGGAGGTGCTAAATCATGCAGCATACACCCTACAGCGTATACAATTACCAGATGCCAAAAACCAAAACTTGTCTCGTAATATTTAACTTCAGGTTTAGTGCTTATCATGACCTGTTTTGTTTTTGTGCAACAAGTCGCCAGTGCCAATGTAACGCGAAGTATTAACGAGTAGCATCGGCGACGTCAAGCATTCAAGCACCGTTGCGCGACAGGTGGATAGAGTGGAGATTAGTTTTTTATCTTGTACCGTCTTGGCCTTTGATATGGGTCAGTGGCGGATCCAGCTGGTRGGTGCAGGGGGTGCGCACCCCCTCCTGAKATCTRTATCCTTCAATACTTTYCTTATTAATTTGCATCTTCATGGTAATRATTTTTGTGGGGTGCACCCCCTCCTGAGAGACCCGCACCCCTCCCTGAGGAAAAYTCTGGATCCGSCYCTGTGGGTACAATTAGTGATGATGCGACAAACGGTAATAAGACTATAAACTAGCATATTCAAAACTTCTCTTCATGTGTATAAAYTATTTTTTGACAAGCTCCTATTCCCCTTYGRGTTGAAATGCACAACACAAAKCACARCGCACGCAGGAAATACAAACAAGTCAAAAAGCAGTGTTCTACRGTTCTACTAACATTATTTACTTTATTCAAAAGGTTTCATAGCTGACCAAAGTGGATCATATATTCCTGCCTTCTACGCATCTGGCTGTTTCTTTATCATGGCTTTCTTGTGTTCATATTTACGTCATTATTTAAGAAAACCAACCGAACCTCTGCGCTCTGAACTAGTGTGTATGGCAAACTCAAAGACACTCTTAGTTGTTGAAAGRGAAACAGTTGTTTGATTTGTTCTCGTAATAGTAATTATGAACATCTAAAATATGTATTTTTGTTACTGCTAAAATTATAYACAAATAAAAAGCTACTGTTATTTTCATACTGTTCTTTAGAAACACCGATGCATCTCACCCTGGAAAAAAAATTTTCAGATCACTTCACATGCCGGCTTTCATACAATTGTGAAGTTATTCGACTGAAAAAAACTAAGAAAGAATGAAAGWAGAAAAAAAGAATGAAAAGTAATAAATAAAAAAAAAGAAGAGAACGACCGCACAGGGACTCGAACCCATGACAGAAAAATTAAAAAAAGAGATTGGGACGATTCCCCCGAGACATTCTGTGAAGCTGAGGCGTCGAATCGACTTACATTACGGTTAGAGATTTCGGCTCTTCCATGCTATCCCGATAATTGRTCCTAACTTCGCGCTAACTAAAAAGCCAGTGAGGGAGAAGCTATCCGGCCCCTAGACACTGATGGATAACCCCTTGCACTAACTAGGCAACTATCGAAAGTATAATGTCAAATTGGGGTAGTCTATTCGGTGAAAGTGTCAAGTGGTCTATTATTATGTAAATGAGTGTGGCACTGTGGCGCGTCTGGTTAAGGCGCTGTCCTATAGTCAACCACAGAGTCAACCGGCTCTGTGGCTCGAATCCTTGGTTCAGGCCTCATGTTTTTTTCCTTTTTCTTTTCTTTCTTTCTTTCTTTCTTTTTTTTTTTCCAGGTCAGTTATCCAGCCTTTATAATGTTTTTTGATATGCATTTGCTCTTTTTTAATTTAATTTTTTTCAACATATATTTTTATAATTGTGAATTTTGTAATTGGAAAATTGTGTGGGTTTCCTGTGTTCTCTTTTTGTTGGAAGCCTGGACGTCATTCTATTTATAGATTTATGACGCAATAGATGTAAATTCCACACATTCTCCAACATATTATTATTTTTTCTCTTTTTGAAAAATAGCAAGAAATTAAAAACGTTAATTATTCTCTCTTGATAAGCGAGTTTTATAACTTTTAAGAAGTTTTAGAAGTTTTGCCTCGTCATGAATGACGTCATGTCAAATCATGTGACCAAACAAGAGAGAAGGCCGGGCGATGTATACAATCATACGGTCAATTTTGTCAAGTTTATATCACTTTTACATTGATTTAGAGTATAGAATTTGTCAAGWGTAAAACAAGGTGATTATGGAAGCTGTCTCAGGCAACGAATTGATAAATAGCAACCAAACAAAGTAAGAAATTATTCACGTGAATGTTGCATAACAGTTGTTTACATCGGCCATATTGTAAGTCGAGTTTGAAGTTGATGTTCGTTTGCAATTGATTCTGTAGTACTGTTGCTGTACCTGAAATGCCTCCTTCAAGAAGTTGGTTTTCTTGGTGTCCCACGTCAGATAGGCTACTGGAGTATGCTGAATCGAGGATTTTAAAACGTAAGAAACAGATGTTTCTGATCTCTTTGTCCATTGTGAATCAGCATAAAATTTTTGAAAGAGAACTTTGTTTTTATGGAACTGATCGAGAAATATTCTTCCGTTTTCAGATTTAAAGACACACTATGAGAAGAAATTCGTCCCAGTAGTCAAAGGAAATAATGTATGGACTGTTAAATTCAACCCCTCGGCTAAGAACATTCCCTTAGTGATGGTCCATGGGTTTGGAGGTGGTCTGGGGTTATGGGCCCTAAATATTGATGATTTAGCAAAGAATCGTCCAGTCTACACATTTGATCTTCTTGGCTTTGGTCGGAGCTCACGGCCACACTTCAGCTCAGAAGCTGACATGACAGAGCAGGAATTTGTAGAGTCAATTGAAAGTTGGAGGAAAGAGCTTGGTTTGGAAAAGTTTATCCTGCTTGGTCATAGTCTTGGTGGTTTTCTGTCATGTTCTTATGCATTAAAGCACCCAGACAAGGTCAAGCATCTTATTCTAGTTGATCCATGGGGGTTTCCTGAGAAGCCAACAGATGATGAGTTTCAGGCCCGTATACCAAGATGGGTGAAGGTTCTTGGAGCTGTTTTAAGCCCTTTCAACCCACTGGCTGGTCTGAGAGCTGCTGGACCCTTAGGTAYGTTTTGATATACAATCTAAGTTTGGCTATGGTTTGATCTACCAACTGTTTTCAAAATCAGTGGAATCAATGGTGGGACAATGTCAATGATATGTGAGAAAACACTGTGCGTCAAATCACTGAAAACTGCTCTAGGTTTTGTAAGAACAAGAGGAACTAGTAGTTAACTAATAAGAGCTACATTGCAGTGTTAGAAACAGTTGTAAAATAATTGAATAATTGAATAGTTGAAATAATATCAATTTTACACCATAAAAAGTATGATGTTGTGACATCATTCCTTCACCGGAAGACTAAAATCCAAAATGATAAATTGTTTCCTCTCATACTTTTTTAGTGTAAAATATATTTTATTTCATAACTRTAGGTTTTGTAAGGATATAATTTATTTTCAATGCCCTTTGTATCACAGTCAACTGGCTCTAGACAATAGGGCTGTTCATCCTTCAAACCATAGGGTCCATGGAATTGAAAATTTCTAAATTATCATAGTACTTAGCCTTGTACCTTAACTTTTTTTGTTTCATGGTTTTACTGTGGTGTAATACTATAATCCTCTCTGCTTATCTATTTGTTTTTTAGGTCCATCCATGGTACAGAAGTTCCGTCCAGATATCCAGAGAAAATACGAATCTTTATTTGAAGAGGATGATACCATCCTCAATTATATTTATCACTGTAATGCTCAATCTCCAAGGTAATACTAGCTATAACAACAAATTAATATGGCTTATTTACAGTCAAGAGAATGGGATACTTAATGAGGTTTTCAGTTAATTTCAATGTTATTTAATAGTCTAAGAATTTTACCCTTTGCACATGATTATATGAGATAAAGTTGTAAAAATACACTGCAATATTATTGTTTCCCAATAATTTGTAACTTACAGTGTAACTGTTACTGAAATTTACATGAAGGTGGAAAATAATAATGCATATAATGTTTAATATTGTGTATCTATGGCAACCTTAGGCCACYTAGAAATAAATGTGTTGCACAACACTATAACTTATTGCTCTTGTGCAATCGACACACTAGATTAAAATATTTTGAATAATTATAATGAAAAAAAGGAAATAATTATCATGTGCAACAAGTTTGAAATTTGGTAATTTTCAGTTTAATCATGTTATTCATATTGTTATTCAACAGTGGAGAGACTGCATTCAAGCAYCTGAGTATTCCATATGGATGGGCAAAATTTCCAATGGTGAACAGAGTAGGAAACCTTGACAGAAGGATACCAATTACATTTATTTATGGTGCTCGCTCTTGGGTTGATAATGAAAGTGCTTATCATGTGAAGGATATTAGGGGTAATAATTTAGTTGATATACAAATCATTAAAGGTGCTGGACACCATGTATACGCTGATAGACCAGATCCTTTTAATAGCGTCTTAGAAAAGGTATATGAAATGGTAGATTCAAGTACAGATGATGATGAACCAGAACCAATGTGCAGATTAGAAAGCCCTGTGTAAAATGAGTTTTTCATAGTGCCAACACAGTGTATATATTAGAGTCAGTCTGATAAACCTTTAAGGTTTCTATTATAGTGTAAATAGGTTTAATTCAATAGAATAATAATTTATAGTTAAATCATACTGAAGTGCATCAATTTTATTTAGTAATTAAAATGTTCATTTTAGTTTGTTAAGTCAAGGCTTTTAGTGGCAATTGTTCTTGAGAGTGTTTATACTCAGGATCTCTTTCCCTTGTACAGCCTGATTTTCAGACAAGCCTGTAGGTTCAATGCTAATGCTTTTCTCCTCAAACTCATTAGACAGAGTTTGGGGAGAGAAGTGTCATTGCCAGACCCATTTAAAAATCTGGCTAGCCCCTGTATTTTAACTTTTAAGGTTCTTACACAGTTATTCAGACATACTTTCATTGCTATTATGATACCATTTGCAAATAATATGTTGGCTAATCTACTGAGAATCTTAAAATATTTACAAATATTATYAAATTACACTGCATTTATATCACTGAATATTATTTTATGCTTCAGTAAAAAGTACACAAAAAGGGGAAGATAAAACTAACAGGCATTAATTTATGCACCTAACAAAATTACGCTGTGAAATGAAGTTAGAATCAATTGATCTGTCAGTAAATTTATACTGCCTACTGCAACAGTCTAGTTTATTTAGTACATAGTATTTATGCATAAATTGATGTATTATTATGAGATTATACTCCCTTAAATAAATTTAATGCYCAAAATCAATTAAGAATGTTATATAAAATAAAGAGTTCTCAGAGGGAGATGTTGAAAACCACAATATAGATGCCCTCAGAATTTCTTACTGTATTTGTAAAGATACAAAACATAGTTTTACTAATTACCCTAGTTAAACACAATATGTACATATATTAAGTAAAACATCAAACCGAATTAAAACATTTAATTTTGTGAAAGCATTGTAGGTGTCATTTTAGTTTATATTTAGAGTTTTTTGTACATGCTGAAAGAATAATAGAATAACAACAAATACTTCAAAAAATATAATTGTGTATTTTTGTTTCTATTTTAAACAGTTCTTGGAAAATGCATCAAAATCAAGAGACATGAATTATCTAAGGTCTGGCCATTTATTTTGATTTCCCATTTGTTAAGGATTTATTATTGACTCCATCCAAAGTCACAAATCACTATAATTACAGTAATTATTGTCCTTTTAAGTAAAGGTTGGCAAGAGCAACAGGCAATTATTATTAGTGGTAATGCTATCAGTAAGCATTGCGTAGACACTTAAATAGAGTTAATACATAATTTATTATGTGCACTAATAGGTAAGGCTGTTGATTATGAGATTATATTTAAGTAAATTAGGCTAATACTGGGGTGGTGCAGATGCTGGCTGGCCTGGTTGAATTCYTCTCATCTTGTAGTATCCTGTTAGCTGATGTGGTACCTCAGCAAGAACTTCTTTTGCAAGGGCTGCTGAACTGAGCTGTKCAGAGGAATGCTATAAGTGAATATGTGTTTATATTGATTAGGTGGTGTTCTTAGACTTAGAATCAGATTTGCATGCACCTATTATCATTATAATCATTGTTATCAATACTATTTGCTAATTTCTTTCTTCTATTATAAATWTTATTACTCATTTTTTTATTTYYTTATTTAATCCTATTAATCCTATAGTTATTCTTACTATCACCACCACTATTATMATTGTCATTTATTATTTTCTCTTAACTTACATTTTTAAATTTCCTGTAAGGAACAAATTGTACAATGTCCCTTTGTGCCACACGTCCTTTAGACTTCAACCTAAACAAGAAGMATTTGGTTACTGTTTCAATGTAGTTTTATATCTGCTCAGTAAAGGTCTACTTACAGGCCCTCATCACAATCAAGTTCTTCCATCATTTGGAAATCTGCTCCGCCTACCCCAACAATGATGATTGACATTGGTAGTGATGATGCCTCCACAATAGCTTCCTTCGCTTGGTCCATATCAGTTATTACACCATCAGTTAATATTAATAAGACGTAATAGTTCTGGAAAATATAAGCCAGCATTTAATGAGCTCTATAGTAGTGCACTCTGTTGCATATGATTCTGTCCAATGTTGGCCTGTCAATTTATCTGCAGACATGTATCCACCATGTAAGTTTATCTGTCATCTGTATGTCTGTCTTTCTATGTGTCATGCCTGGTTGATTTCTCTTGTAATGGACAAGGAGCACAGTGTATTGGAATGGAAAGAGAAATGCATTCCTGTGTGAATGAGAGGACTGGGTGCAGTATACTAATGAGCTGTATATAATGTGTGTCAAGGGATTGTGTAATCAGTGTGGTCCAGATATATGCTGTTGTAGTTTATGGACTTGAGGTAACAGTAGGAATTTGATATCTTTACCGTTGCCTGAGGTGATTGTGCTGCAGTTCTTGCAAACATAGCAACATTATTAATAATGGGTGAGATATTAGTYGGCCCATAAAACTCAATCTGTGGCAGGCATGTTTGGTAAGCCTGAATGATTCCTTGAAGACCTACATTAAAAKGCAGCAAACAATTTAGTATAAGTTGKAACAAAATTTTGTTAACCATTAGATTGGTGGTGATGAGTTGATGGTACCTTGACAGTATGGATTGGCGTGGTTAAAATTCAATGCAAACTGATGTGACACCTGCAGAAATAAAAAATAATCATCAAAAGGATTGAAAATGAGAGGAAAAAACCTTCAGTGAGTATGCTTTATCRTCAATTATTACCATTCTTTCTGGAGGAATCTTRGCACCAAAACCAAAACAAGGAAACAATTTGTCACTAGAATACAAATAGGTTAACATCTGAGTTAATGTATTGTTTTATAGCATGTTTATATATCAGACAATCTGTCACCTGTCGTAATCTTGTATGATTTCACCTACTGATGTTAAAGCCTGCATATACTCATTAGGTGCATAAGGATTCATGTAATGAAGTGATGTGGGTGCTTTAGGGTTACCATTAGACCCTGTGAAGTCAATACCAACCTAAAAAAAACAATAGCATCATATGCTTACCATCTACACATTTGGTTTATTGACTTTCTGATTCATGATTGAATTGATTAATCCTTTTAATAATAGATTCCCCTCTGATTCTTCCTTCCAAACCCAATGAGGAAGCCTGCACACAGGCTAAATGACTGACTGACTGACTAACATACTACTGAATGAATGAATGACTTATTGAGTAGTTGTTGGTTGGTTGAGTTGGTTGGTCTGGTTGCCTTATTAAATGAATGTATGACTGTCTTCAAGTACAGTAATTGGTAAACTTACAGTAAAATTGAGCTGACATCCACCTTTTATGAAGTCCAGGAATGATGGTATTTCAATAATCTACCATAAACAACAATGTCTTTGTTAATATTCATGCTCCATGTTTTTAAAATGTTCTGTCTTTCACATTGAATAATTTGAAACTGAAGGAAGGACTGTCTGACAATTCYCCTACCTTGCAGGATGTTAAGTACACTATTCCTGAGTTTTTGTAGCTTTTCTTTTTTCGCTGTTTCTTTTCATTGATGCAAGGCCACTCAAGCTATCAGAACAAAAACCCAGCTTCAAAATCATGTACATTTTAGTTTTAATGAAAGGATAATTACCTCTCTTGCCCCTGTTGTACTACTCATTTCTCTTAGATTTGTTGTAAATGATCCAATGAGGTCATGTGAACCATCACTATCCCAGTCATAACAGGTTACCTGGAATTATTTGGACAAGGTAAAGAAAAAAAGTGACAAGGATATAGATAGTAATAAAAGTACAAATTGATAGAAAAATTCTCATTTGGATTGGATGGATAAATGAGAATATTATACATTAAAAAGAATTTTAAAAATGAATGTGGAAGGGTCTCAACATGGATAAATGAATTCATGATTTATATGAATTGCTAGATTAATGAATAAATTGATGATTAAAAAATTGATTGTACCTTAATTATCCTATCATAATCACCATTGCAAAGCTGTTGAGATGAAATTTTCATCTCTCTCCACCTTGGATTTAAATTGTTTTGCACAACCTGTTAAGAAAATCAATGCCAATGATAAACTGTAGATTATAACCAGTCAAATCATATGTTTTCAATAATACCTCTGTTCTATGAACAACCAAAAAACTCCCATCCTCTTTGGCTCTGGCAAACTCTAAGTAAGGGTCCGATTTACCCAAGAAATCCTGTGAAATCAATGAAAACTAATGTGAGTTGGACATAAGCCACAYAGCATGTACACAGAACACYTAAASCCYGCCTTTTWGTCCAGCTCTGAYCCASTCTCCAAAGAGATGAATGAATACCAATTATTATTGCAAATAACAAGTTAACACGTTTTTAATAATACCTTTTTGTCTAATTTACTGGCTCTGAACATTAGTTGAACTTCAGAATTCATTCCTGAGACCTCTTCAGCTGTAACCTAAATATCCGGTAAGTCAGTAAAATTATATTTATTATTATTATTTATTTATATTTTGATATGTTCTGCTTACTGTAATGGTACTGGATGACTGGCTTGCAGGAACCTTCAAAGACTGAGTRTATGTAACTGATGACACTACCTACAATTGATACAAAAAATGATTTACAAATATGTGCACTACCATATATGGTAGTCAGTTCTAATATTCTACCATAGTCTCCTTTGTAGCCATTTCTCCTTCATGTTTGGTTTCCGGTTCCTCTCAAGAGATGAACATTTTTGTTGGGGAGTATTGTCGGGAAAGGGGAAGAGACAGGTAGCCCAACAAAAGCAAGGAATGATTAGAACACAAGTGATGGCTCACCTGTCCAAGAGTGCACTGCATTTCACCCAAGAAATCTGCATTTTTCAGACTTCCACTTGCACTGTCAATATCATATACTAAGAACTTTAATTTCTGGAGTTCTTCAAAAAAGTAGTCTACAATAATAGACTTGGAGAAATTGGGATTCAAGTTGTTTTCAATTCTTTCTGTCCTACCAACCTGTYAAAAAATGGGTCAATAATTATTTGTTGTGATTCAGTACTTTATATGTGATCATCTATTGGAGGAGTGAACTATGGTTAAAATGCACTTTCCTAAAGATAATGCATCTATTATTCTTTCTGGATTTACATGTAACTAAGGCAACTCTTTACTTTAGACAAAAACTCAGTAAGCTCTCAAGTMTTTCTAGACTGCCCTCTATAATAATATCAATTAATCTTCATGACAGTTTTTTAATGAAAATAAAAGTGAAACTGCAGACAGAATTGATACCTTAAATTAAATATCTAATTCAATCTTTTCTGCAATATAAAGTTCTATTATTACAGACCAAAACAACTGAATTAAAATTAATTCTWTTCTATTCTATTATCTATGTTTTAAGTTAATTCAGGTGTTTTTATGCATGACTGATTTAGTATAAATCATTAACATAAACCAAATGTTTACATGCTTGTGTATAAAAACTTAACATACAGAAGGAAACCTTGAAAAAGTAAACATCATTTTGCACAGCAATTACAAATCAATATTGAATGAAGTCAATAAGATAAATTGTTGAAAAAACAGCTGGGACAACACCTTTGTTTAAAATACTCTATAGAAATACTACTTCAGGTCAAAGTGAGCTAGATCTCAATCAAGGTTGTTACAAAATCCTGTAAATGTTCTACTTTCTTAATTGCAGCTTTTGATTTGGGTATAAGTCTTAGCAGTTTACTTAACTACTTAAACCTTGCAGCTAAATTTATGTACCTCTTCCCAGCTATTATTCCTTAGTAGCATGACAACACACAGTGGATCAGACTTAGACATAAGATCTTTATCCATGAGGTTTTTGCAAGAGATGTTAAGCTGTACTTTCGAAAGGCATTGAGCTGTTGGACCTGTTGGCGTCCCTACTGGAGGATACAACGGTGGAGCTGTTGCCTGCATTTTCCTCTTTTGAAATCCTCAGGAAACCTCTCACAAGAATAAAAAAATACTCTTTGTTTTCTTTTTAGCTTCAAAAAAGCTTTCGATCTGAAGTACCCTCAATCTTTATGATCCCAGCAAACGAGCAAATACGACCTGGATCATGTCATTTTTGGAAGACTAACATTATATTGTGTCAGGCGTTCCTTCGGGAACGGAAGTGAATCCCCGAGCTTTGTGACAGCGGTTGCAAGCATTAGTCTTGAACAAAATTCAAGATGGCGCAGTTTCTAGGGACGGTTATCGGGACAAAAATGGATAAAACTGCCAAAGTTTTAGTCACTAGAATGGTTTTACATCCTACAATAAAAAAGGTAAGTTTATTTTGAAATTGTGTATAGGATGATGCGTYTAGAAAAACAATTTTGAACTAACTTATAAGCTTATTAAAATCTTGATTGCACGTGCGTATGGCTAAGTTATCCATAAGTTTATAATACTTATTGTGCAATCATTAAATGCTTTTCTTCAAGCTCTGATATCTAGAGGGAATCTAGAATGAACTAAGCAAATAAATAGCATAGTACAATATTTTGATGCACAAAACACACAGGAAGCCCAGCGTTTTCACATTTGGCAAAATATAAATTTACATTTACATTTACTTTGCAGTATTGGAATAAAAGAAAAGTTTACTTCGCCCATGATGAAAATAATGAATGCACGAGAGGAGACTTAGTGAGAATAAAGGAGTGCAGACCATTAAGCAAGATGAAGAATTTTAATGTTGAAGAAATTGTACAAAAAGCACAGAAAGTTGTAGATACTGAAACTGGAGAAGTTCACATACAAGATAATAGAGAATAACCAAGGCTGATTTCATGCTAAAGACAATACAATTGTGATAACCATACAAAATGGTACAAATAGTGCAAATTAACTGATACCCAAATGCGTAAAAATTGGAGATTCTATGAACCATTTGTTTGGTACAAATTATCATGCACAAAGACACTCCAATKCCAATAAATAACTATGTTGTAAGGTGTTGGTACTTGTTTTATTTTTTTTTTTCAAGCAATGTAATGTATCACAATGAATCATATGACATTTCATAACAATACAAGTTGTCAATGCCTAGGATGATTTGGAAAGTGAAAGACTGTTTTTTTGCTATGTAAATAAAGCAATTTTAGATTAACGTTCATGTATGCTTATTTTATTTCATGTCTTCGCGTTTTGCTTTACGTCATTTTTCCGAAAATTGGGCTTCCTGTGTTGCCTATTTTTCCCGCCATTTTCGTGGCAAATTTTGAACGCGCGCGCGACACATCTTTTAATTTTGTGTCACTACTCCGAGCCTTCGCCTTTTGATTTCATTCAAAAAATAATACTTTATAGTTTTCGTTTTATCTCAGATCAAACTCTCATTCCCCCATTTTCAATTCTTGGCATTTTTTTGTCCTGAAAAATAAGCTAAATGAAGAGATGGAAATCTTAACCTGAAAGACTGGTTTTTGCCTGCCTACTAACATAAGGAGTACTTGACGGTAAGCACAATTTCAGGGTAAATATTTTCATGTGTCTCAAATAACCATTCGAGTTTGTCTTTCCAATTTATTTGAAGAAGCTGGAATAATGACCGAGTGGGTCCGCTGTAATTCATGTTGCACAAAGCCTGGAAAACAAAGATTTTATCTTACTAATTGCGGTCATCTATTTTGTGAAGAATGTATGAAAGGTGTGTATAATGTTAAGCTTAAGCTTATTTAATAATAAGTTAAGTTTAATAAATGTAGCTTTAGAATGCTTATAATATCAAAATATATTAAYACAGTACATTTGACTCTTTTTTAAATAAGTATAATTTTGTGAAAATTAGGTTGAGAAGTTATTTTAATAATTGAGAATAAGTTGAGCTATTATCTTGCAGAAAATCCAGAAACATGCAAACTTTGCAAAAACTCTTGCAAAGCAATTATGCTGACTTCCCAGGTAAATTTTGCGAGATCTGGTTAGCCATGAAAAAGAAGTTTTGAAATTTATCTGCAATTAATTCAATTTTTTTAAATTGCACCTAGATGAAACCGGAAGTTGAAGAGTACTTTATCGATATTCCCACTTTACTTAGCAGACAGCAGAAAAAGTTATTGCAGGTACGTGAAGCTGGTTAATTTTCCTTGTAGCATTTTAACACGCGTGGTTTATAGGAAAATAAATCCCATAAATCTTAATAATGACGAAAAAACATTTTGGAAGGGATGGGTGGTTTGTCAGTCTTGRAGGATCGGAGAGGGGAATGCGGGAGCCGAGGGGGGAGGGTTGTGGCTCAGTCTCACGTACTGTTTTCCTTTTTTTTCGTTTGCCTTTTTGTGTATTTCTTGTTTAGTAACTCCTTTGAAACATTTTCGGTATTTGTTATATTTTAGGTATACGAATTCCAGAGAACACATTGGAAAAATTTTGTTTCTCTACATGAAAAGCAAGTAAGTTAAACGCAAGCAAAAAATATGTGATGAATTTGGGAATATCTTCCTGACTGTCATTCCTCGATTTCTTGTATCTTTAACTAAAAAGGAAGCTATGCTGGAAAAGACGCAAAAACGCTCGGCCGAATTAGAAAGGTATATTGGAGCGTCAGTGTTACATTATGATACATTAGTATCATATAACTTCCACCTGTGCTGATTTTTGTTTTGAATACATTTTTAGAGAAGTTGCATTACTTCGAGAGGAGAACAACCAATTAAGGCGGCTGCTATCAGACAGCAAACAGCATCATACTCCAGGAAAGAACACAGCACATTCGCCTGGTCTTGCTTTACGAAGAGGTATTCATTATATGCATGATTCGTCTTTAAAAAGTCATGTAAGATTCGTGCAATATTTTTCTAAAAGCTGCCGCCTTGTTTTAAAATATTATAGGCGCTTCCAAGGTGTCTCCTGTACCTTATTCTAACTCTCCCTACGGAATGGCTGTTACAAGCACGTAAGTACAATACCTGGTATTATAGCATTTCAGTGATAATTTAGTATATAATAACGTCTTCWATTCATTATAGTCCACAGCAAGATGGAATGTACCAGCGACAGGTAGTGATAATAAAACTTTTCAGGTCTTTTACAACACACGCATGCATAGATACAATAGATACTGCACGCCTTGTTTATTATATCATTGATTTTTAGCCCCAGGTGAGGACACCAGCAGGACCCTCAAGACTCACTGTCCGTACACCCCCATCCAATGGAATGATAGGTAAGTTCAAGAAAACATTCAATATTACTATTGGGTTCCCGTGAATGGTTATACGAAAAGAACTGWGATTTACTGCTGAAAATGATTGATATGATGATTGACATGATCATGCATGATTGACGAGATTATTTTCAAGTTCACATGTCAAAATGCCGCGCTAATATTTGATTTTCCAGGAACCACGCGTCCTAGTCCATACATGCACTCACAACGTCCAGGTTCTGCTGGAAATACGCCTGGTGGGTTATCTCAACGTCTATCATGTGCTGGAAATACACCTGGGGGTCTAAGGTATTACTATTGTGCTAGATTCCACCATGATGTCAATGATTGATATCATGATGGGATCTAGCACATTGAATTCTTGCACTGTTTTATGCCTGGTGAGAGGGAGGAGTCTAGTGAGGGAGCCTGAAGAGTTAATTAATGACGATGTAATTTGGTGTAATTGCAGGACTGCTAATACACCTGGACCAAATGAACCTGTTACACCTTCCATGCTGAGGGCTGCTATGTCACAAACTAACTTCTCTCCAATGCATGCTAGTTCGCCTATGATATCTTCTCAAAACAGGTGCGCTTTAAAAAGGTTTCACCATAGATTTACTTTAAATCGCTATCTAAAAAACTGATGTACTATTGCAGAGTCACTTCATGGATGTCTTCAAGCCAAAGAACAACAGGTTCATATGTTCAAAGAGACTCTTCACCGGCAGGCTCACAATGTGGTCATTCGCAAAGTAGGAAAAAATTTTATAATAAGCGCTCACATATCGGATCTTGTCCCGTGTTTTCGTTACCTCTTCCCACTATATAGAGCTCTTGACTTAAACTTCCTTTCGATAACAAGGTGTGGCAGATATATTTCTTAGCCATTGAACCAACTTATTACCAGTCTCTCAATGCCCCTGCTCTTACTCCAAAGGCTCAAAATAAGAACGCTCGGGCAACCGGCAGAAATTTCGAGCTAACAATATCGACATAATAATTTATGAATAAATAGAGGATATTACATGGACGCGCGGAGATACGGATTTTATCATCGAGTGTTGAAAAGATCAACACGAGAAGATAAAATTCGTATCTCCAAGCGAACATGTAATATTCTATTTATCATATAATTGTTTTTGAAAGCAAATTATGTCGTACGATAGCTTTTTCTTACTTCCACYATATAGASAAACCTCGAATGTGTTATTTTCACTAGTGAAAATATCAAGTTTACGAAATGGAGAAATATAGGTATTTCATAGATAATTATATGATAAAATGCTTTATTTACTAATCGACAGACGAATCTACTTCGCATTGTAGTCAAATGGATTCTGGAAAGCGCCCAATTCAGGTATATCACGATAATGAATAGCAAAGATGCTACGCGTATTGCTGATTTTTGTCTGATTTTTTGCAGCTGCGATACGAACCAAGACCAAATCCTCTCAACAGACCTCCAATTATGTAAGTTAAAGTTTTTGACATCATGTACACGTTATAATTGAAAATCAGTAAGAAAAGCTCGACCCTAAGATATCATATATCTTATTGTATTAGAACCACACCCGCCAGATCAAAGCACCACTAGTACCAAGACAAGTACAAAAGATATACAATGTGAAAAACTTTTATTGTCCTTTAAACTTAAGTTTTTGTAAATAGAACTAAAATACTTCATATTCCAGTGTATTACATGCAATCACAATGAGAAGTTGAAATCAGTTACTGTACTGATGTATCAACATCAGATATTGTAAACTCAGGAGGGCGTTGGTTTCTTCTTGCTGCGAGTCTTTTACGCAAATCACGTACTTCGGACATCAGTTCCAGTTCTCGCTTCTCGAATGTCGCTCGTTTTCGTTCTATTGAAGGCACTGAAGAAAATAAAACATAATTATTTGACATCATAAATGCACGCTTGTGCTTAATGTACATGCGTTTCACTTTTTGAAATATAAACATAAATGGGGGTAAAGGAAGATCCTTTGGGCAGTTCCTTTTTTAACAGTATCAGTGTCCGTGTAGTTTGCAATATGAAGTAAAGTCTCCTGAATATACCTGAACTAGGTGGTGTACTCGTTTCAGTGGCGTCTGTTTCTGTACTAGTTGTATTTGTAACATTACCCAAAGGCTGTCTTGATACAGGTCTGCGAATATCTCGTAATCGCTCTACAATCAAAACATACAATGTAATATCAATAGCCCGCATTCAGTACGTTTCCCGTCTTGGCACAGCACCATTTCTCACGCTGAAACTGAATACATCACTTTTATTTTTTATTTTTATTTTTTACTTTTATTTAAAAATGAAAAGAAGTAACTGATTACCAAATGATTCGTCTTCACCGCTTCTACTAGTATCCRTGGCAGGTCTGCTCAACATCTGTATACGTTTACTTTCTGCTTGCGCCGCTTCTAGCTTTTGTTGTCTTAGCCTTGACGCTGTAGCAGCCGCTTTATCGTTCTACAATAATCCCAGTGTATTTGAATGAGATAAATTGTAACATAAAGTGGTACATGATATAGCAGGTGACAAAGGAGGAACACTACTCAAGTCATGAAACACTCTTACTCGTTAACTTGAGTTTTACCACAATTGTGAATTTTMAATTCCATATTCTTCGAAGCAGTAAAACAAGATTACTTCTTACCTCTTTATTTTCTAGCTGCCTTGTTAGAGTTTGTAGCTCGAGCTCGCGTTCTTTATTTTCAAATACACGTTTAGTTAGCTAAAAAAGTGTTAAGATAATTTTAGTAAGTATCCCTTTACTTTTCATTCAATTACGCACTTCCATATTTATATTATAAATGCATGTGCTACTGACCTATCATATTTAAACATAATCAAAGACGCGATGCATTATAGGGGTTAATAGGGGTGCGCTTCAATATGATATTTACTGGTGATAACTGAATAAAAATCTAAACCTTCACGCGGTTMAGTTCCCTCTCCCTTTCGTCCAGTTGTGTTCTTAATTGAATTTCTTCTTCYCTGTCAAGATCTTGTCGTTTGCTCTGCACTTTAGCCAAATCCTCTTGAGCAATCTATGTTAGATAAATTCTGTTAGATATGAAATAAACACATTAATACGACATGTTGTAGTATACAGTCTCAGATTTTGTAACACGCGAGCAATTCTTTTACTTCAGTGGTTGGGTTAGTCGCGCAGAAAGATCCTCACCCTTTGCGTGTCAAGGTCGACCTCCTGCATRGCGTCCAATGTCCGTTTGTACAAGTCTTCTTCAAGTTCTTGCTGCTTGCGATGAATGTTTAAATCGGTTCGCTGCTTAAATGAGTTCTGCAAATCTTCACGAACCATATCCTAAAAGATTACAGTAAGATATTCATAAATACATTTCAAAAAAAGAGAGAAACTGTCGTTTCTTGGATTGCATTACAAAAATTTTCACATTGTAACTTGTAGAAGAAGCCCCAAGTCACAATTTCACCGTCAATTTTAGTCAGGTTCACAAACATTACCAACCTGTTGTAGCATTTCTTTTTGAGCCTGTARCTCTAGTGATTTGATTTCTGCATCTTCAATGGCTGTTTCAGTTTCAATGTCTCGCAACAAAGCCTGAAAAACGCAGAAGTCATACAWACTATGAAAGTCTTTCTAAAATATCACTTAAAGTGTGCAAAATAAAGTCCTAGTTGTTATGGTTGTCCTTCCTATAAAAAAACTCCTCTTTCGTTCTTGGATAATACTCATAAGACAATGATGCTGAGAAAGAGCAATGAACATTACTCGCCTTGCGTTCAATCTCATCGTCAAGTCTTCTCAGCTCTGCCTCGCGTTGGCTTTGTTGGTAGTGTAGATGACGGCGGCGAGCTGCGTCTAAGAGCTGAAGCTCACGTAAATGAACTTCTCTTTTCATAGCTTGAAGKCTAAATAAAAACATATTGGGAGAAAATAACAACAGATTAMAAGCAAGATTAAAAACGCGTTGCGCATTACATATAGCGCCATTCACTAGTCAAAATGTCAGTTTTACAAGAGCTACAAAATTACGATGCATTTTTACCGTTTTCGTTGATCTACAAGCTTCCCTTCTTCCTCTGCCATCATTTTGCGTCGTTGTTCCTCGGCGTCTAGCATCAAGTCTTGCTGTCTGTAAAAAGCAGCTTCCTCAGCTTGTCTTTGTTGAGTCTGTTCCTTCATTTCTCGAGCAAGTTGCCTGACAAAAACATCAGAAGAAAGTTAGGGAAGGACACTTACATGTTTTACGTCATGAATATTATAGAATGGAAAAGGATGCCTAGCCGGTTTCAACGGAAAGGAGAATGACATTGTGTTACCTTTGCCTTAGATATTCCAGTTCTTCTTGACGAATTCTTTCTCTTTCTTGGACCTACAAAGATGTTAATTAAGAAAGAGTCAGAAATTGCAACAATGTCTTTTGATTAGGATAGGAAAAGAAGGAACTAAAGACGACAAAAACTTAATTATGTACGTACTTGGTAATCTACGACAAACTTAGGATACTTGTTAAACACAGGGTACTGTCCTTTAGTAAGCGGGGCGAAAGATTCCAGCATCCTCTTTGGATGAATATCAACTGGCGTGTTGTCCATCAGTCGATAAGCCTCGCGCACAACAGCGCTGATATCAAGGGCATTGCGGTTATGGAAGAAATACTAAAAGCAAATGCATTTATTTCAATATGACAAACAAACAAAAAGAAAACAAACAAAATCCCACATTAGRCAGACATTTGAAAATATCATTTCAGTAGTTTACTTCATTTCCAAGTTGTTTTTTTTTTGTTTCGAAATCTTTCCTAAAGAGTAATAATGAATATGATGAAAGTCGTAGCAACACGTGACACTTAAATGGTTTCCTTAAGAATTGATGACCAGTTGTCATTATTTGGACCAATCAAAAAGCGATTGTAACTGTTGCGCGCACTTGAAGGGCTTCCCACGATGTATCACATAGCACCATGCGCAAAATGCGCACACTACGGTAAGAAAGTTTTTTTCCTTTTTTTTTCAAGCTAACTATGGTTTTTCCTTGCATTTCCTTCTTGWAACTGTTTTGTTAAATTTGTTTAATTTACCTCGAAATCTTCTTTTTGTGTACATTGAAGAAGAGCCTTTCTAGAGGACATGACATAAGCAACAACGATCATCAACAAGAAAGATGGATGATTAGAGAAGACGTTATCCCAYACTTGCAGCCATTCCTCTTTGGTAAGAACTTCCGACATTAACGTTTGTAATAGTGGCCATGCGTACATCTGAAGAACATTATTTTTTAGTTAATTGTTCATTTAATTGATTAATATGAGAGTGTGAATACAAAGTGCTTTGACAATGATTTATAACTTGTCATGCCCTTGTATCGGAACATTTTCGAATGAAATATCCGAAGGTTCACACCAAGAAAATTGATAACCTCGGAAATATTCGGTATTTTTAAGTACTGCAAATTTAGTTTTTGGAATAGTATTTTTGRAATAGTAAACTGCAAATATTTACAAAACTACAGTGAACTCTTCTTGTGTTTTTTTTTTTGTTATAAACTGCTATTAAACAACAAACTGAAATTTCCTCACCTTTGAAGTAACTTTATAGCTRACAAAATGCTGCATTAGTGTTTTGTCATGATAAGCGAGTATGTTCTCCATCATACCGAGGATATTGACTGGAGGGTTGGGGAAGAATTCAAACCAATGTTGACACCAATTGGCTTCAAARTAAAACAAAGTTTGTTTTCATCATTATAAAATAGAATTTGTAAAACAATCAGTCACGAATATAAGTTGGAAGAAGGTGCATTCTACTTACTAAGGACGGAGCTGGCAATCTCAAARCATATTAGCTGGTTGTTTTGGAAAAGCTTGACAAACGGRAAKACAAGTARTGCAAGATAATCCACYTCACCAAATAATGATGACCAGTGGGCTAACGATGACAGGGTCCTGAAATGAAGACAAGTGGAGTTCACCTTTCTGTTAATTCTYGGTGTAAAGAAGAAGAGCAATCGCAACAAAACAAAATGAAGAACAAGTGAGAACAAAGACAACAAGAAGAAGAAGACCAAGAAAAGAACAAGAACAAGAAGAGCATAAATAATAATAAGAAGAGCATGAAGAAGACCAAGAAGAACAAGAACAAAAAGGAGAAGAAAAAGAAATTCTGATTACTGCAATTACAAATGTTTTGAACATTCTCTCATAAAACAATCAAAGTCTTCCATGCTGTCCAGTGTAAATGGACTAACTTGGCTTACCTTTGCAGCACTCGTAGTAATTTCCTGCTTTTTATAGGGTATTCTTCATGGACCTGTGCATAAGCACTGTGTGTTCCCTTGTCAACAAGACTGCTGTATGCAGCATGATTCTCTGGTAGTTTGAGAAGTGACCGCCATATGAACATCCTTTTGTACAAGAGATGATATATTATTATAAATTTTGATCTTTTTTATGGCCATTATCTGATGATGAGTGATGTATTATTATGGCAATTCAATTGATAACATGCAAAAGTATATTAATCAAACAAATTAATTAACAATTTAATTTATAATAACTTTGGCAACCTACCTGTATTTTTCTGGATATTCACCATATGCACGTAATATAGATATCAAACGATTGCGAYTCAAACTTTGTGGTAATTCACCCTACAATAAAAGTAAATAATGAATCAGATATAACATAAACCCTAGTAATTAAAGCTTTATTACTGTTTAAAGGTTATCCTTAGCACTGCTGTACTACTGGGTATTGAATATTTCTGACCTCAAGTCCAGAGTCCTGAGTACTTGAAGTGTCAATAATTCCAGGAGTTCCATCAGATTTGTTTTCTGAAGGTTTTGGTCCCAGTTTTCTTATTATTTTAGTTTCTTTCTTGGTGTTTGACAAAGAAAGTGAAGATTTGTTGCTTTGCTTGGACCCKGGTCTGTCATCAATCACACTTTTKACAACTGGTGGAGGGGGCTAAAATAATATTTTAAAAATGAATGTTAGCTCTGAAAATATCAATGGATGKTGGGATTGGTAATAATGAAATAGAATACAGGATGTAAAAGTAAGAAAATGAAGAAAGGAAAAGGAAAATTTAGGAAAAAATGCCATAAAAGTTATTGGACTGGGATGGTTGGGATGGAATAAGATAGGTTGGCATAACTTCTCACTATGTACCTTGCTTAATTGTTGAGTCAACACAGGAACACTATAAACATTAATACTGCCATTATCCATCATGGCTGCAATGTAACGGCCATTAGGGCCAAACACCATGCTGTTTATCATCTGTGAGGAAAACATTGAATCTCASATTACAAGACAATACATGTGTTGTGCTCTGATRTTCAATCTGTCTGAAGCTGTACAAAGATTAGATTAATTTTGCTGTGTAAAGCTTSTTGAKGTCCTACCTGATCRTTCCCACCAAGGTCAAAGAGAAGTTTACAAGTATGTACATCAATAAACCTCACAACACCATCTTGAGCAAGAACACCAACTGTCTGTAATGCATTGAAACCACAAAACTTTAAAGGTCATTCAGGAAATATAAATGATGATTACATTCAGTAAGTTAAACCCTGTCTATATTATTATTATTGGTATCTTGTGGAGATTTGTTGCTTACTTGTGTGCAGCCTCCATCAAATGTGTCTGAGATAAAATCAACTTGTTTGACAGTTCTAATGTTTGTCGGTAGTTGAATCACATGCATCAGGTGTTTGGTCTCAAGACTCCAAACATGTAAAAATCTGGATCTGGAAAAAAATATAGAATATGAGTAATAATTATTTAACCTAAGTCTTGAAGAAGCTGTATTGTTACTGTTTACTTATTGTCCTTATCACTACCTTCCAGCTGCTACCAGAATACGACCATCCCTTGGTGTTGCAAGGTCTTTGTAATGTGGAGTTTTATTGCCATCAGGAGGAATGGGAAGTTGGTATTTACAATTAAGGCTTTCAGAATCCCATGCAAATATACTGTCATCCTTAAAACAGGTTATAATTGTATTGCTCAGAGGTAAAAAGAATCCCTGGGAAGAGTGCAAAAATAATAATTATTCAATTAATAATTACTTATTTACAAAGCAGAGGACGTACTACATGCATGTAACTGGTTTAAAATTGGAGGTTGAATTACACACTAGGCATACTTGTAAACATTTGGCTTGTGATTTAATAATTATGTAACAATCACAGTTAATCACTACCTTCTGGATGCCAACAGTTTGTGCACCATTAAGAGTGCGTTTCCTGGTAAAAGTATCAAGATCCCACAGCTGTATGACTGTATTGGAGGATGTTAAAGCATAACGRCCACTGGCATGAATTGATATCCAATGAATTGGTGACTCATGACCTTTCATCCAGCTTACAAGCTCACGGGACTCTGYAATTTAATCAAAGTGTGAAACRTTTTCAATATTTTAATTTCATAGCAAAATTGTCTACCATTTTTGTGCTTACCAACATCATAGCATCGCAAAGAATAATCTGCTAATGCAACCAAGACTTCATTCTTACGCCTCAAGCAGAATGCTAAAGCTGTTGATGGTGTGCCAATTTTATGAATAAGAGAAAATCTACAAAGCAAAAGCATCCAGTGATAAGAAGACAGTGTGTTCTCCAAACAATTTACAAATCCCTATGATATCTTGAAAGGTAAMTTGTGCCTTKTCCTATTACAGCACTATTTGCTACAGCAATTGTCACCTCAGTTTGGTGTATAAAGCCCCGCATAATCTTTTTAGATGGTGCTAGAAATGAACATTAAATCATATAAACCAGTCATCATGAGTGTGATCTGTACTTACCTGTTCCTATTCAGGTCAAACAGGTATAAATTKCCCTGATGGTCTGCAGCAACAAATGCTTCACCAAGGGTGTTAAATGCTGCGTGTAAAAATCTAATGCATCGACCTTGTAATTTGAATGCATTGGATGTTGTATTACAGATACTCACAACCAGTCTAAAACGACAACAACATTAAAACAGCTGATATTGTTTGATTGAATCTATGCGATCTTTTATAATTCTTTGCTACTACGKGAATCCAGTAATCAAAGGCTTAAAGCTTATAATACAAAATTTTAACAACAAATCGCAAAATTCATAAGCTTATTTGATTTCTCACCCTGTCTCAGTTGAAGAATTTGACTTTCTYTGCCAAATTTTTCCCGATTCTTGCTTATTAACATCAAGTATTTCCATGRCATTACATGATAGCTTCCATCAATGCCAAATCGGGTACTTATTCAATCAATATCGGCAGATTTTGTTCACTGTTTTCAAATAAACAAACGTTTTTGATTCTCCCGCCATTTTGGCCTATGCCACCAGGCATTTTGCTCTAGTTCTCAGTTCTCCTCGGATAGCTGTGGATATGCAAAAAGAAAATAAAACAAAATTATAAAAACAACATCTTTAAAGTAATTCATAAGTAATGAGCAGTTAAAACGTATTTTGATTGACAAATGAAATGCGCAATAAATAATGAAAATGATCAAATAAGCATGTGCACAATAAAGCCGCACAGCGGGAAAGTCCTGTCCCCACCCCTGTAAGGTTAGATTTGCTATGCCGCAGTACGGGTTTTATAGACTAGCAGAGGGTCAAKGAGTCCGTGAACAACCCTCTTTACAAGTTCCCAAACATGTCTCAAGTCCGYTTCAAGGTTTCAAAGCTTGATGGAGATGACGGAGTAACGCTGGACACAGCTGAGGRAACAACAGAAAAGTCGAACGGCACAGATGATGTGAAAATCGAGTTGCCTGAGTCTCCCGGTTAGTTGCGTTGATTTGCTCAACTTTGCGCGTAAAATAATCTCTTATCGAGGTTTCGTAAAAGCGTTAATATTACATCAAACTTAGCAATCTATCAGGTAAAAAGAAGATACATAAATACTGTTTCAARAAAGAAACGCCTTTACTTCCTTATTATGCGAAACTGCAGTTAATTTTTGTAAACAAATCGTGAGATATTAGCCAGGTCCAACTGTTATGCATTGTGCTGAGTACTTCACGATGAAGTCGTCTATATTGTCTTTTTAAAGCATGAGTGAATTCTTGGACTTCACAACAATACTTCTTTTGTTTTATTCTTTGTTTTTCTAGCTAAGGATTTAGATACAAGCGCCCGTCATAACCTTCTTGCTACAAAAGATGGTAATTTGGCTTTGTACGAGGTACGCTTTCCTTTGAAATAGTCTTTCACACTTTAATCTTGTGGCTGCAATTGCGTGTGTAATTATTCAAGACGTCTGACCAAAAATATAATAATGTTCTAATACAAAGGCAATTATTCTTTCATTAGTATAAAATTTTAATGATAATTTGTTAAATTTCCACAAGGATGAAATACACAAGCGRCCAAAAATCTCTTCTCTTCTATCGTCACTGGCAAAATACGAAGCTGTTCAATCAGCACCTCGACAACCGGACGATGTCAAACCCAAGAAAGTAAGCACTTAATTAACCTTATCAAAATCAAATTGCTATATCAAAATTTATATACAACATATAGCGTATTGAATTTGAAATAAACATTTGTCTACAGGAGAAGTACCATGAAATTTAACATAATATAATTTAGTATGTAGAACCGGTGGTTTACTCCCGATTTTGAATAATTTATCTGTATACTATTTTATTTTCATTTTATCTCATTCCTATTATAATCATAGAGTGCAAAGATGGGTACACTCATGGGTGTGTACTTGCCAACCATACAAAATATTTTTGGCGTGATATTGTTTATCCGGTTGTCATGGATTGTGGGTGTGGCAGGTGTTGTTGAGGGCTTCTTCATTGTGCTGACATCATGTTGCTGTGTAAGTACTGGCAATAATATGTAAGAGTGGATTTTTTATTATTTACCACGGCAAGGACAATGCATGACACAACCAGGAAGCCTCACATAATATTAATGTCAGAGTATACCATCCCATGTTTCTAGAACCTGTCTAGTCTCCTCTTACAGCCGTTAGAATATTCTCATTCCAAGGTCACTCCACTCCCCCCTAACAATATTGGTGGGAGTGGCCTGGGAACGAACGTCCTAACGGCTGTGAGAGGAGACTAGAACCTGTCTCTATGATGCCATTGTTTTCATTACAGACAATGCTGACAGCTATATCTATGAGTGCTGTTGCTACTAATGGTGTTGTCCCAGGTAATATTCAGTCCTCCGTAAAATACCCTCAGACTGACACTCATGACCCAACCAAAATTCATCCATTTTTTCAAAGGTGGAGGATCATACTTCATGATATCCCGTGCACTTGGTCCAGAGTTTGGTGGTGCTGTAGGATTGTTGTTTTATCTTGGAACAACATTTGCTTCTTCTATGTACATTCTTGGTGCTATAGAGATCCTGCTAGTAAGATTATGATATCAATAAAGATTATTTACAAATATTAGACAGTTTAATGCTTATAAAATTAATATTTCTGCATTGCTCCCCTTTGTTAGACTTACATTGCACCCTCAATGTCCATTTTTGGAGATGTTACTTCTGGCGGAGGGACGTCAACTATTATGCTGCATAACATGCGAGTGTATGGAACTATTCTGCTTATCATGATGGCACTTGTAGTGTTCATTGGAGTGAAATATGTCAACAAGTGTGCTTCACTGTTCTTAGCATGTGTGATTATTTCCATCATTGCTATATACATAGGGTTCTTTACAGCTCAATTAAGACAATTACCCAAGTAAGAACACTAGTGATAACTTTGYAGGGGCGTATCCAGGGGGTGTCACAGGGTGCCCGTGACCCCCCCTTTCAAAACCAAACAAAYRTGAAAACCGTAGATTGATATGACATTATGTTGACGTCATATGACGTTAAAGTGACAATTTGATATGTCAGGATCCCTCCCAATGAAAATCCTGGATATGCCTATGTTTTGTTTTCATATTATGTGCTGATCATTTTGTTTCTGTATTTCTGTGTATTTGTATGTCCCAAGAACCTTATAACAAGAAGAAGTTTAATGTTACCACATTCTTCCTTACTTCTATTTATTGATAATTCATTCATTTGTCCATTTATTCAATAGAGTATTTTTTCATTTAATCAGTCATTTGTTTATTCATTTTGGGTTTTTTTGTAAGGCAAGAATTGACTGTATTTGAGATTGTTTTTGGTCTTTTTATGTATTGCATGTATGGGGAAAGTTCAACCTTAGTAAGTGCCTAATAACCTGACTGTTTTTCAGAATATGCCTGTTAGGTAATACTGTGTTGGCATCTACAAGCTATGATACATGTTCTCGTAATGACTCTAAATTATTAGCAGCATATGGTTCTGATAGTGTATGGAACACAACATCCCTCCGATACATTGATGGTGTTCCTGGAATAACTGGTGGTGTATTTGCTGGTAAGCCAGGAAGAAATGTATTGTACACTGCAAATATCAAAACTGATCATTTTTGTTGTGTGTTTTGTGTTTTAGGAAATTCAAAAAGCCATTACTTAAAGACAAATGAGGTGTACCCAGGAGAAACTGCTGGTTCATTTGAAGGGGAAGTCAGATCAGACACGAAAACCTCCTTCTTTATCTTACTTGCTATCTTCTTTCCTTCTGTTACTGGTATGTTTCTAGTAATAACAATCAATTATTGCCAGAGAAAACATGGCTGACATGCTGTGATCAAGTGCTTGTTAGTCAGAGT